CTAGCAAGGAGATCGGGCTGAAACTATAGCTACAAGCTATCCAAGGATGGTACTATAGAATGTCACCTCAAGGTAGGCCTAGTGGCGTCATCTCTTGGTTAGGCCGGAAACTTATCAATCCACCCTCGTAGAATCTAAAAATGTAAAAACATACAGGCTGTTCCATTTAAAAAAATACAACTGATACATATTGTTCTTTTGGGACACCTCGTATATTATGAAAATAATTTTAAAATAAAACATTTGTGGATCCCTGTCTACACCGACAACAAAAATTTTTAAAAATCTAAAGTTAGGTAACAATTAATGGATTAACAACTAAATACAACCTAGTCAATTTTACAATAATTCTCATAATGCATACATCAGAAAAAGAAATTCATAATTCTGTCATCAACCAAATAAATTATTACTGAACAAGTAACAAATTTTTGTTATTTTTTCTCATGTCAAATTCATATTAATAAATCTGTCGATTAGACTGTGCTCAAAAGTGGAGTTTCATGTCTTCTATAAGAGCTGTCTTCAAGTGGCTTGTCCAGCCCAGCCTGTCGCTCTGAGTATAGCCAATCAATCAACCCCATTAATTTACTAATCGAAGCAAAAACTTGGAGATAAAATATTACCGAATAAGTCTAATACTTATAATTTTTTTTATTAAATTGTTTTAAAGTAATTTCATTTTCTTTATCAAGATTCATGAATATGGAGATGCACCGCCATGACGCATAATCATCTTATAAAGTTATTACAGTCTTGCGAATGTAAACTAATAATAAAATTACACATGTTTCTGGGTATCTTATTAAAGTAAGTAGTTTACAATAACAAGAGTAAGTGCTGCTCACTTAAGCAAATCTATTTATGCGAAGCCACAAATAGAGAAGTATTTTGGAAAAAAATGGCTCTGATAATGGGATTACTTATAGTTGATAAATGTTGTCTCGAAAATAAAATTGAAATTGTCCGTCTATAAATAGGGCAAATTGGGTAAGCAAAAGCAACATCGAGAATTCCCAACGACGTGTCGACAGCACCACTCTTGTAAGCTGTTGAAAAGTTTTAACTTACGGTTTACTTGTCTAGTTTACTACAGAAGGCTCCTTGTCAGATGCAACTTTTCCCCACACGAAAACGAAACATTCACAACCTTTTAACGTTTTTAATTTAATTATTTATTAGGCACGACCACTTCGCGTATAAGAAAAAATTACACATTCACATTGATATTATGTACTTGTAAATATAAAAGTTTCTTTAAAATGAAAAGTGTATTTTTGTAATTTGTTACCCGTCAAATTTTCAAATTTATAATAAAATTGAGGATCATGCGTCATCTATTATTACAAAAATGCTATCACCTGATTTATTCATACTTACGATCAAAGATTTAAATAGGATTTTTAAAATGCACTAAAAATCATTGTGCTGCCATCTTCCAACGACATGTTTAATTTGAAATAATCAAAATGAATGACAAAGCGCCATCTAACATTAAGATATATATTGTGTAAACTGTAGTTGCCAAATATACCTCAGAGTTGTATTGAATTATATTTATATAGTACTGACAGAGAAAATTTTTATTATTTTACTTGATCTCTCCGAAAAAAGGAATGTTATTGAATTTCAAATCGAAATGTTATTTGGAGTTCTAACTATTCTTCGTTATTAATTAATACATTAATTGTTAAAACGATTTATTTAACAACTCTTTCAATTTGATTTAAAAGATCTGACAATGGTGCATTTATCATGTATTCATTCTACAATTTGACATTATCTGAATTAAATTGACATTGCAAGCCGTACACCCAACTTTTAAATTAGTTAATTAGCTCAGTAGTTTTACGAAATGGAAGAAATAGTCGCCAAATTATTAGTGCCTAATAGCAAAACCGTTCAACAGGTAAAGGATACTCCTAAATAGATTTTTTATTAGAAAGTAATAGACTTGTTGTTGTTAAAACTTAACCTAAGAACAATACACGTGAATTTCTTATTAACCGGATTAATTGTTTATTATTGCATTAATTAAACATAAATTCTATTCAGGGAACAAAAGAACTCAAGGAAGCATTCAAAAAGCCTGAAGCTGTCCCTGCACTGTGTGATGTACTTGTATCCTCAAAAAATGTGGAAATCAGACAATCAGCAGCAGTTCTTCTTCGGAGGCGTTTGGGCAAAAAACACCAATGGAATAAAGTCAGTGTCGACATAAGAAACAGGTAATTTTTCTACAATTACTTTATAGAAAGATGCATTACTTTACCAGTTATTTACTTTTACAGAATTAAACAGGGCATGTTGCAAGCTTTAGTTAATGAAAGAGAAATTAGTGTTAAAAATGCGATTGCACAGTTTATTGGAATCATAGGGAAACACGAGTTCCCCAATAATACATGGCCAGAAATTTTGCAGTTTATTTACACAGTTTGTAATAGTGACAATGAAACAGATAAGGAGGTAAATTTAATCAATGTGACTATTGACCATTCACATATGATATGCCATGCCCATGTACACAGAATTACTACTTAATGGTTTCTCAAGTACAGGACTGTATTTTACATTTATTTACAATAAAAAATTATTGCAATTAATAATAAGTAGCATTTGATCTTACAGTAATTCTCGTGTACTCATGTTTTCATGAATGGTCAAAATGTTAATTGCAAAATTGAATATGCTTGTAGTTATACATCAATGTTGTTTACCCCCTTAAAATTGTAGTTAGGGATGTATACTTTATCAATAATGACCGAAATTTCAAAGGATTCGTATATTGTTCATGCAGAATCTTTTGCGGAACTTTTTACAAAAATTATTTCATCCCTGACAAATTTGACTTCAAATCTTTCTTATTATACTGTTCTAACGATGACTCACTTGGTCCCTGTGATCGGCGGACATCAACAGGTACAGTATCACATAAATAGATAGAGTCATACTTCTAATTTTGGAATTTGGCTTCTTTTTATAGATGATCAATGTTTATCACAGACTATATCCAAAAGTAATAGAAATTATTAATGCTTTCTCTTCAAAAGATGATAGAAAAGCTTGTGAATTGTTTGAAATAATTGAAGAACTCATAGAGTATGCAGTGGCTGTAGTTGTTCCACATATATCTCTAACTGTTGAAATGTGCCTACAAATTGGGGCTAACAAAGCTATCCCAACATCTGTTCAAATTAAAGCTATTGCTGTTTTGGGGTGGCTTATAAGATCAAAAGCCAAGGTATTAAATATAACAGATTTTTTTTAAATAATAATAGTAATTATATGTATTTTAAAGCTCATTCAAAAACACAAAATGATTGAGCCAATAATAGATGTGATGATACAAGTGATGGCACAAAAGCCAGAAGATGAATCTGAAGCAAACGAAGATTATTATCAGGGCGATCCTGATGAATACACTGCCACAACTATTGCTTCACAAACGCTCGATTTAATTGCTTTACATGTGCCCCCCGATAAAGTTATTCCATTCATTTTAACAAGAATCGAACCTGCTATTCAAGGCAACGATATTTATGCTCAAAAAGCTGCCTATTTGGCTTTGGCTGTGCTTGCAGAGGGTTGCTCGGAGTACATCAGGAAGAAGTATCTAGAACCCTTCCTGAAATGCGTCTGTAATGGTATAACAAATGAGAACGTTGTTGTACGAAATGCTGCTTTATTTGCTCTTGGACAATTTGCTGAACATTTACAGGTATGCCAATATTTCTTTAAAAAAATATTCCTCTTTTCAATTTCCGTTTACTTAGCCCGAGATAAGTAAGTACGCTTCAGAGTTGCTTCCTGTGCTCTTCCAATATCTTTCGCAAATCTACGCTCACATGGAAAATGATAAAACGGAACCTCCGAGTTTAAACAGAATGTTTTACGCGTTGGAAACATTCTGCGAAAATTTGGACGATGGCTTGCTCCCATATTTACCTACATTGATGGAGAGGATGCTGACCGCTCTAAATCCGAATCACTGGTCGATGCAGCTCAAAAAGACCGCTTTCGAAACGGTAAGTGCGGCTGCCAGTGCCGCCAAAGAGGGCATGTTACCCTATTTTCCCAAATTACTCGAAATAATCAACGTCTATTTGAGCGTAGATGCCGACAACGATAATTATCATCTGCGTAGCGAAGCTCTAGGTATTTTTTTGCTCAAATTTGTATCTCTTCTTTTATTAATCAATGTGTTGTATAATAGAATGTTTAGCTACTTTGGCTCAATCAATTGGTAATGAAAACTTTAAGCCGCTGGCTGCTGAAACTATGAAATTGGGCATGCAAATATTGGAAAAATCAGATGACCCGGACACCCGAAGGTCTGTTTATATGCTTTTTGCTTCCCTCGCTAGCGTCATGAAGGAAGAATTGTCACCAATTCTACCTCAGGTTGTTGAACAGATGATTAACACTATCCAAAGCAGTGAAGGAATTGAAGTAAGTAGTTTTTTTTATATCTTTAGAGGGTCCCGTTGCAAAAAGATATAAAAAAGGACCCGTATAGTGAGACTTCCTTGTCTGTAATTTATTACGTGTCTTTTAAGACTCATTATGCTGATGACGAAAAAGATGGAGCAGATATTTACGACGATCTCTCAGATTCTGAAGATGACCTGGAGGAGGACATAGAGATTGGTTCTGACACTGATACTGACTCAACTCAATGTAAATACTCAGTAGAAAATGCATACATTGACGAAAAGGAACAGGCTTGCATAACCCTTCGAGAACTTTGCAGAAACGTTGGGTAGATAACAATTATTTTCACATCTACGTTTTTATTTTATTTTATTAATTCTGTTCTTTAGAACGCCTTTTCTACCGTATTTAGAAAAAAGTTTCGAAGAAATATTCAAGCTAATAAACTTCCCACAAAACGAAATCCGTAAGTCGTCCATCGAAGCCCTTCAACAGTTTTGCATTGGCTTACACGAGACTAATACTCATGAAGGAAGACAGGCGTGCTTTAAAGCCTTACAAATGCTCATCCCCAAGTGTGCAGAGATCATTAGAACCGACGAAGAACGCAATGTGGTTATGTGCGCCCTTGACACCTATGCAGAACTTTTGGACAAGATCAAGGGCGACACCTTGGTCGGTGATGGACACCGAGAGGCTATAATGAACTGTGTCATTGATGTGCTGACCCTAAAGGTGAATTTTTTAAAAAGTACTTTGATGAAGTTTTGATGTTGATAATGATGTTGTAGACAGCATGTCAAGACGGCGATCTCGAAGGTGGAGGCGAAGACGAAGACGAAGGGGAAGCTGAACAGGATGAGCTACTTTTAGAGTATGCGGGGGATGTGATTCCGAAGTTTGGAAACGCTATCCAACCTGATGATTTCCAGTGCTACTTTCCAAATATACTGCAACTAATTGGAAGCAGAACGGTGAGAACAATTAATTTTATTTTATTTTCTGAATAAAAATAAAATAAAATAAAGAAGCAAAGAAACACTCATTTTTACATATGTAAATAAAAGATTACATATGTAAGAGTATCGATAGCTCAGTGTTTCATTCTTGATCGATACAATACTTTTTCTACTTCTTAATCTATGTTTATTTATTTTTTACTTATATGATTAGTGGGTAGCGACGTAGTTAGCCACTCCCACTGTTCCCATCGGACGTTTTGTAAGCAGCAACGACAAAATTCACTATCATACTGTCTTTCTCGTCCTAACTTACAAAAATCGTTATAGTATGAAATAAAACGCAAAGGAGTTTATTACTAAAAACAAATAAATTGAGAGGATGGTATAATGTTCTGTTTTATAACAATGAAAATGAACAGCAGGTTAGAACGACCTGAGGCAGAGGGGCTTTAGTGAAACACCTTCCTCGGATATCCTACCAGTCGTATGGACGGCTGACTGTCTATAAAGATTTTCCCTCTTCCACGAAAACAAAAAAAGAATTTGAACTCTCAAGGTAGTTCTATAAATTTCACTTCAATTTCAACCCTCGGGCGCACATGGGTAGTCCGACTAATAATACATAACAACCATCTGTTTCTTTCTTTTTCTAAAATTCGGTTTACTTTTTTTACTCATGTTATGGAGCAAATTAAATGTTGTAGTCTGGTAAAGGTCTAAATATATTATTCCTCTTTATAGAAAAAACAATATAGCGAAAGCCAAAGGTCATTTTCGTACGGAACACTCGCTGAATGTATGAAACCTTTAGGTATTTACATTGAGAAGTTTATTTCCCAATTGCTTCCACTTTGGTTTGCTGGAGCTAAGGACAAGAGCGATGAAGTGAGGAACAATTCGATTTATGGCTTAGGTGAAATGGCCCTTCATGGAAAAGACTGTGTTTTTCCGTATCCTTATTTGTAAATAATAAATATGGGGGTCTGTGTCTAAGAGTTTACGTTGGGTGAGACACTCTTTCACGTTCGTCTTTGATAAATAATAAGATATTTTTTGATAGGTAGTTGCTGAAAGCTTTTTTCTAGTCCTTTTGTATTTCAAGTTGACCTTTACACGTCTTTTACCTCTCCAATCTCTACCCACCCATTCCCACGATTCCTGAATGGAATCTGAAGATAGTCTTGCAGCCTACTCTTCGGTTGTACATTAGAGTGTAAGTCAGAGATTACTTACCCCTCACTAGCATTAGTAACTGGCAAAAATGAAACACCTAAAAGTTATTTATAGCTATAAAAATGTTACTTCAAAATTTCTGAGGTGTCGCGGCGGCTGAATTTTCCAAATATATTCATATCAAATATGTATATTTTCCTTTACTCATTCTTAACAGTCATTACACTCAGATTCTTCAAGCACTTTCAAACGCAATATCTACAGAATCTCACGCAGGAACAATGGATAATATATGTGGGGCAATTAGTAAACTTATAATTGCCAATTTCAGATTAGTGCCTTTAGAACAAGTAAGTAAAGATATTTTAAAATAAACTTTTAAAAAATATTTAATAACTTCAGTTTCAAAAATACTTTTAGTAAAATTAATTTATTTTAGACCATCCATTATAATAAATGAAATATTTGATATTAATAATTTGTTTCTGTTAGGTATTCCCTGTGTTATTAGAACGTTTACCATTGAAAGAAGATTTTCAAGAAAATGAGGCTGTTGTAAAGTGCTTTTATACATTGTACCAACAGGGAAGTCCCATTCTTAAACAACACTTGTTGAGTGTTCTAAAAGTGGTCATTCATATTTATTGTAACCAAAGTTCGATACCAAACGAAGGTATGCCATATGTTATTAACAGAAATCAAAGGAAATTGTTTTGTTTTTTTTTTTTAGAAACAGGAAATTTAGTGAACGAATTTCTAAAGGTGGTCCATCGTGATTTTAACGATGAATTTTCGAAGACTGTCGCGTCTTTAGGACCAGAAGTGACAGACAGGCTAAAGCAGCTATTTTCTTAAATGCCTTGAAAAAGATTTTTTTAATTTATTGTTTAATACATACAATTTCCTATTAATATTAATTAATATACTTACCGATTAAATATTATAATCAATTTACTTTGCGTACTTTGTAAGTTGATCGTAACGTGACTGTTACTTGGAAAATGAGAGCTTATTTAAATTAGGAACTGTAAATATTTATTACGTTTTCCCTTTTTTATAATATATAAAATTTTGTATTTTATTCATACTTCCTTTTGCTGTGCACCGAGTTGTTTAATTTTGGCAAAATAAATGTATGTGACTATCACTTCATCTTATTATTAGATAAAAAAGGCAATAACTCTTATAAGGTCCAATTTTTATTATAACAGTATAATTCAGTGGTATGTACATAATGTTTTTTATTTTAATTGTTTATAAATAATACTTTTTAAACTAGGTACTATTCATTAATCGGTCAACTTAAATGGGATTTGAAGACTTGAAAGAAAACTTGTCGTGTGCAGTCAATTGAGAAAAAAATATACAATTAATACAGCGAAAAAAATATTTTGGTAAGTTATTTTGTAATTTGTTTCGTAGTAGTTGATTTTTTTTATTCACATTATCCAGTTTCTGCTGTACTTTCTTAAGTATAGAGGTTTCAAAAGGTTATAATTTCTCAAATAAAACGCGTTAAAATTAATTAACACCTACTACAATTTTGTTTTGGTCCACAATCATTGGAAATAAATTAATTTTTTATTTATTTGCTGAAATTAACAGAAACGTTTTATTTATTTATTTTATTTTTTTAGTCATTTTTAATATAAAGGTAATGGTGATATCTTTTGAAGCAAGATAAGCATTTACTTAGATATCTAATCTTGGAATAGTTGTGTGTAAGATAAATAATTAAAGTAGCTAATTGTTTTAAGATATATCATATAGTTTTATCTTTCTGGAAAATGATTACGAATAATCGCCATCACGTTTTCGAAGTTTCACAGCAGTTTCGATTGCGGAACGTTTGGAAAAAGTTATCGGTGCGTTATTAAAGAATTTTAGAAAAATGATTTAAAAAGTCGTACTTGTTGAAAACCTGTTTAGAAATGTCTTCGAATCGTGTCTCAGTTAACAGCATTCTTACCGGTACGAATTTAACGATTCATGCGGCAAGAGAGAGTTTACAAAATATTAGAAGGATTAGTGAGGATAGCTATTATGGACTTAACGACGAAAATTCGGAAAGAACTTGGAATTATTCTTATTTAAGGGTAAATACAGTAAAATATTAAGTATTAATTGTTATCGTTAGAATATTTGCTCATTTTACTCAAAAATTTAAAAATTTCGATTAGTAGAACATGTATATAGGTACTTACTCTTACAATTAGAAAAAAATCCATTTTACGTATATAAAGCACAAAATAATTGTGAAAAGATCGAAAAACATTCTCCAGTTTTGGTCAAATAATGAAGTAACGACTAAATGTATAAATAAGTCGAAAATGTAATATTGAATACATTTTTCTTAAAAATATTCATCATTCTACGTAAGTTATAAAACTATTTTATTGTGATTATCAGTAAAGATATGACAGTTACACATCAGGTATTGATATCATTGTTCAAAACCTTCACCCCCTCCTCCCCAAGAATTGTTTCTGTTTAATATTAAATATACAATACTGAAAATGTGCATCAAAAGTATTTCCTAGAAAAGGTATACCAATGTACATATAACTTTTGCGTAATACGAAACTGCCGATGCATGAATCGGACTTAAATTGATAAGTTAAACTATTATTGAACACATTGCTTTACCCATTTACCTCATTAACAAAAGTACTCATTAGGTGCAAGTTAATTTAAATTTGTTCGATATTAAAGTGCGGCAAAGTGTCATAAGGTGTGAAATAGAAGGAACTTATTCATAATTTTGTGTCTTTTTTAACTAATTTTCAAATTTGGGTGCGGAAAATTTTGCTCTTCACAATAGTTAAATCTAATTTTAATTTGTATGATATAAAAGTGCAGCAAGATATCGTAATGTGACATTTGTTTTGGTGAAAATGGCTTTTTGACAATGAGCCTGATGAGGTTGCCGTTAAGCCCAACGAAACGTCGTTCAAAAGTTCTTACTTCAACGCTTATGCACTAACTTTACACACTATCATCAGAGACGTGATTTATTTGAAATACATTTCCAAACGTTTTTTCTATTCATAAAATTCAAAATACACTTTTGCCGTTAAAAGTTTTGCTAGTATCAAGCATTATATAAAATAATGAATGAAAGTTGCTGACATTGGCCTTTGAAGATATTAGAAGCTTAAAAAGGGGACAGATAGACATTCCATGAATGCCTTCTAATTCTTTAACTGAAGGGAGCCCAAAAAATTCTAAACTCTTTGGAAATGGATAATCTAAAATATTAAAAAGACATTGTTTTCCGGGTTCAACATCATGGTCCATGGAATTTTGAAGTTCAAAATTGATATCAGCAGCTGCCAAATCATCACTTATCGTACCTTTAGCAAGGAACTACAAAATTCTATAAATTATGACAAAACAGCCCGTAAAACAAGATCGAATTGATATACGCCAGCTGTGTAAAACTGAAAACTACAAGATATTATGGTATAATAAATGCCTATATTCCAAAATTCTTAGAAAACGTTTCGAAAACCTTCACTTATTAGACGAACCCGAAGCTAAAGAAACTATGGATTCAATTTCTTTCTCTTATTACAATATGTAAAAGATTGGAAACAAAATGGGATTTTAAATATTTTGATATAAAATGATTGATGTTGATTTTGCATCAATAAAATTATTTGCAACCCTATTTTGGCTCTGATCTCTCACGGTAAACAAACTATTTTGGCATCAATGTCTTTTTTCCAATTAAAACGGATGACAATGGTAAATAAGGAAGCATATAGAAGAATTATTTGTTGTTGAACTGTAGAAACTATAACATAAAGATAGAAAAACTATATCTCAATCACTTTAAACAGAAAAATATGAGTCATACTCAATCTTCGCAGCTAGTGATATAATACAAACACCATCATTAGTCTAGAAAAATTCCAGTATTTAAAAAATTAGAAAATGCCAGCAAGATTTTCTTAAAAAAATAGTTTATACTTAAGTGAATGTAGAAAATTAAATAGATACTACAAAAAAGTATTTATTTGAAAAAAGTATTTTGAAAATACGTATTTTGTATTTAGCATTTAAAATACAAAAAGGAAATCTATTTCGTATTTTACATTTGAAATAACAAATCAAAAAAGTATTTACATTTTGCATTTAATTTTAAAAACCCGTCTTACTCATCTCTGTCTATCATACATATTTGCTGAAGTAGCATTTCTTCAAAAAAATAATACTTTTTGTGATTTTGTAATCTATCGTTTATGTTTATTATATGTTTAATAATTATTTATACCCCTGTACTGTATGTTTTTTCCCCTTTTACAACTTTAACCGTTTAAGTCACTAGTGATACAACCGTTATCATATTTGTATTTTTGTTTTTGCAGGATCAATTCAAGATAAAAAATTTAGATTTCATGTTTGAAAAGTACACAAGACGAATAAATCATGCTTATTTTTCGTTATTCTTGATTCTCCTATTCCTATTGGGCATTATTCATTTTTGTGTAGTATTAGCTTCTAATTTGGTAAGTATTATTTATAATTGTTTCAATCAATTGTATGGGTATTTACAAATGCAGTTAATATCAGTGATGCTAAAAATAAGTGCAATAACAACAAATCATTATTTTATGAGTTGTTTCTAGATAACTTAATTAATCGTGTGGATATAGAAAACAATTTTAGCATAATAAAATTATTATCTATTTTAAATTCTGTTATAAGAAATTGTTAAAAAAATACATTCACAAATATTTTACTTGAGAATATACACAATAAAATGAGCTGAATGGGTTTTGAAGATATAAACATTTTTGTATCGCTTCAACATTTCATGTGAAATTATTTATGAAATACCTCTTACAATTAGCAATTTCTAATGATATTTATAATTCTGTATACATACATATACATTAAATTGAAATTCCTGCCTGGAATGTTGAAATAATTGCCTTTTTTTAAGATCATATGTATGCTAGTGAGTAGTGAGACACAAACGACCCTTAAAAAAGAATTATCTGTCCTATAATCTATACGGACTAATCTTCAAAATGACTAAACCGATTTCGATTGTGTTTTCTTTTTTCACGCAAACGAACTCGTGTTGGTTTTTTTTTTATTAAATTGTTTTAAAGTAATTTCATTNTGTAAAAAACTATACTTAATTGACAATTTAAAAAATAATTAATTTTATTGTGTTTGTAGGCATAAAAGTAGCTGTTTTTGACACAGGCCTTTCAAAGACACATCCCCATTTTCGAAAAATAAATAGAATGTTGATGTTTCAATTCAATGTTTTCATTATAATCTATTATTGTTATAAAATTAAAAAAAAATGAAAATAGATAAAAGTGAATTATAAATAACAAAACTACAGACTAAAACTAAAAGATTTTTAAATGTAAAACAACAATAATCGAATAAGATAAGACGATAACTCATATCCTTTGCTATTTATGATGCAATTATATCTTTTTTTTTGCATGTGTATGTTACGTGCATCGTAACTTATTTATTTGATTTGATATTTTACTATTCGCGATGATGTTATATTTTTAAGATATGTGAAGAAGTTCTTATAAAACGAACGAAACATTCTACTCGTACGATTAAGCAGTGACAAATAAATACATTTTTAGCATCACGTTAGCACAACCAGTCTGTGTTAGTGTACACATTAACATTAAATTATCTGCTTAGTTGTATCAGATTCAAATTTAATTTTGGAGTTCATCTACCCAGTTCTCCTATCTTTATTTTCTCTTCGTGAAGTAAGCGATAAAATTTATTTTGTTGCAAATATTGCATCCATTTTTAATTTGTCACACTCTTAAATTACCTAAATGTCCAGTTTCACTCAAATAAATCAGTTACTTTTGTAACTACACAAAACATATTTATACAAACGCAAATCTCAACTCAGTTGATTATATCAACTTCTATAATTTCATTGCAAATTGCAAGCATCATTGTAAAGTTTCTTGTTCGGTTGGTATAATAACAGGGCACGTCTCATTTTCCCCTTGGTAACATTTCCCATATACATAAATTAACTATTGTACAAGTTGTATAAGTTCAAAGTGGTCAATAAATGTTAAATGTAAACCAGTGAATGAGAGTTGATAATATCATTACTTTATTGATGCTGTATTGTTATATGTACTGCAAGTGCTTGATCATGGACGCTTTTTTCTCATTTTATAAAATAATTTTTCTATGATAATTAAGTTACCTATTGCCTAACAACATTTTTATTAACTAATGGATTGCTTTTGCTAAACTTATTTTTAATATCACTGCGGCATTTGCAATTACGTAATTATATTTTTTTTATTTTTCAGGCCAATAACTCTCTAAACGCTGTGATATTCGATCTCGTATGTTATAGTATTCTAATTGTATTGTCTGCTGTAACTCTTATTTTCAACGAATCTTACTTATTGAAAAATTCAAAATTTATAATGACAATCTCCATAACAGTTTTTGCAATAGTGTTCTTAATTAATTTCTTAGTACCCCTTTATCATTTTTGGATAAACTTCTATATCATCAGGCCAGCCTATACCACAATTATAATATTTTCCTGCTATTTATTTTTTAACATAAATAAAGGATACGTGACTTTCATTCTGGGATCGTTTGTATCGCTATGCGAAATATCTTACCTTTGTTTTGTCGTTTATGGCATCACAGGGGACTATAGGGAAGATTTTCACATGTGGCAAAAGGTATTTCAATAATTTTAAAAAGTCTTATTCTTCCCCCCTGAAATTCTCCTATTTTAGATAAGTTCTGATGTGGTGTTCTTGGTTTGTATTAACTGCTTAGGTATTTATTATCGTGTTATAAACGAAATTGTCCAGAGAAGAACGTTCTTAGACCGGCGAGCTTGCGTAATGTCCACGTTAAAGCTGAAACACGAAGAAGAACAGGAAGTAGATGATTTATTTGATAGCACTTTGCAGAATTAAGTACCCAGAACATTTCAGGATCAACTCATGTCAAGTATCATCCCCAAAAATATAATAGAAGAAGTGAAAGTCGACATTATGAGAACGATTCAAGTCATTGAAACATCGTCCAGACTTCCTCGACAAAAACCGTTTGAGTAAGTAAAAGAAAAGTTTTTGAAGGAAAACTTCTTTAACCGCAATCAGAGTAATTCTTCAAGCCTCAATCACGGTTGACGCTGCAATTCGAAAAATATTAATTTTAGAGAAAAATGAACGTCTCTCCCGATAATTTAATGTTGTCATATGGCGCTCCCTTGAATGTGCATCCCACTTGCTCTGCATAACTCTTACCTTTTTTTAAACCAGTATTTTTAGATAAGATCTTGTTCTTCTTTATAACGTAATTGTGAGTTTTATATCCGAATTGGTAGAGTTGGATTCCCTTCTAGGTTGAAATATCCTCTCCATCATCTGTGATCGTTTTTAGACCGTATAGTCCTCCTTAACTATGTGTTGTACCTGTTGCATACATGTCATAAAGAGCGGATAAAGGATTCTTATATATGGCCAAATTATTATTCGAGAATACCGTTATAGAATAATTTCGAATATTCGAAGGGGGATCATTAAAAGTCGGAGGATGTGATTTCAGTCTGAGCCTTCCGCAAACCCTCGTGTTTCGCCGAACTATAACTGGTGATAGTGAGAGGCGTGGCTATACGACTAGTCATGCCTATGAAATATTTAACTGGCTTGCTTTGTGTGGTAGACATGCTGAATTGATGCAAACTATATACACAAGATAGATTTTATCTTATTAAACAAGAAAGTCTTCTTCGTAGCTGTAACAATTCCCAAGTATAATCAATTATTTACTGAATAGTAATTATTGTCATAGATACAATCCAATTTTGTAATATGAGGTATGCTGTTATCATTAATGTACAGTACAGATAGCATTTAGTCCAAAAAATCGAACCCTGTGGTAGGCGCTCCACAGTTCTTGTTGTTACCTTATTTTAAATCTTTGAGTGCGATCTATTAGATAACTTCCTACTATAAAGATATTTCACTTCTATCACATGTACTAAAATGATGCGTCTTTTTCTTTTTTGAATATGAATTTAATTTTGATTTCAGGAATCCATACATTCACGTTTATGAAAACGTATCAATTTTGTATGCGGATGTAGTTAATTTTACAATGCTTACTGGTACGCTAAGCGTGACCAAATTGGTTGAAACATTGAACGAACTTTTTGGAAGTTTTGATGATGCTTCTGAGGTACGACAGTAGACCCTTTACCTATGTAACTTGGTTATAATTTGAATTGTAATTTTTATTGTAGAAACTTAATGTTTTGCGAATTAAATTCTTGGGAGATTGCTACTATTGTGTAGCGGGTCTACCTCCAGATCCTGCACCTAATCATGCTGAAGCCTGTGTAGATCTCGGATTAGAAATGATACAAATTATCAGAAATGTAAGGTAAGCATATTATAATCCACTTTCACATAGATTTACATTTAATCAACACTAATTAATGAATGTCTTCTTTAAAGTATTTCCTCTTTATAACTTTTATTTGAGATATTTTATATTTTTAGAGAAAGCAGTAATGTCGGCATTGGTATGAGAATTGGAATAAATTCTGGACGAGTTCTGAGCGGTTTGATCGGTTTAACAAAGTGGCAGTTCGATGTGTGGTCAACTGATGTACTTATTGCTAACAAAATGGAATCAACAGGTGAGGCTGGGTAAGACACACAATTTATTTTGACAAAACACTTAAATGATGTGAGGGGTTTACTTTGCAGTAAGGTGCATATAACAAAGAAGACAAAAGATTTACTAAAAAAACCCTACTTGATTGAGCCAACCGATAAGGGAAGAGTAATGCCTGAACTTCAACCTTTCAACATTGAAACTTTTCTTATTTCACCATTCGAAGTAAGTCGAAAACTATTGCCTGAGAATACCTTTAATTTGATTTTATTTTTTAATTATTTAAAGTTGTTAATTATTTATTTCTATTGAAAGGTTAATGTACAAAGGGATAGTTTAAGAAAGCTGAGTGTTATTCTCGACGAAACAGGAGACTCCAACAGTTTGCAACAATTCTTGGCAAACAGTAAACTCAATAAATCGCCAAGTTACAGTTTATTAAACAATAGGACTTACAGTAGAACACCTTCAACATTGAGCAATGGAACCACAGATAGTGGTTCCGAAGATTATTACTCATCGATTTACTCCAGACGCGAATCTGTGAGAAAGGGGGACGCTCCAGTTGAAAGAAGAGCCAGTGGATTGAATTCGTTACGTCTCCCCGTTGCAATGAGCGAAAGACGTAAAAATTCTGGTGACATTAAAAGAAGGACAGCTTTCATGAATAACTACATAAAAAAATACGCGAGATATTTAGATAATACCAATAAGAGCATGGAAATGGCTATAAAAAAGATGCCTCTCACTAAATACCAGTAGGTGGTCAATTTTTATATCAAACTGAAAAATTATAAGAAAATAACTAATTTTTTTAGACAATGGTTCAACGTTAAAGATATTCATCCATTCTTTCTGGTATTCCAAAACCTCTCGGTAGAAATGCAGTTCATAAAACAAGGGGATCCTCTCTTTAAATACGCCATTTTAATGCAAATATTTTTAATGCTGTGCTGCACTCTTCTCCAAAATCTGACACTCAGCACGTAAATATGAAAAATAAAATTAATATTATTGAATTTTTCGTTTTCTATTTAAATTTTAGATGGCAGTCGGTTCTAGTGTTGAATTACGTTACATTAGTGTTTTTAGTTGTCGTAATAACACCAGTATTATGGTCTCAGTATCTTTGGCAGGAATATATGTCCAATTCGAATCCCGAATTATTACCAAAATTCACATATTTGAGGCTGATAATCCAGGTTTCAAATCGGGTAACCAGTAGTTGGATTTGGAGATCTCTCATTTACATAATTACAACAAGTCTATGTGTAGCCTGCGTTTCAACCGAATTAGTAGGTAAATATGCGACTTTTGAATCGTTCGTATTATATACAAAACTTTTTTCTCAGGTGCAGTGTAACAAATACTTCAACGAAATAAATACAACGGACATCAACGAAGAATGCATTACACCTTGGGTAAGAAATTTTAATATTGTTCTTTATGTATTTATAAAAACGTTTAATTCTAATCAGAAAACGTTCTTATTAACATAGTTTACATACCTTTCACGTCACAAGTTGCGTTAGACATCTTGAATTACCTTAGTATGGTCTTGTCTAACGCTTGAAATACTTCAGTAGCAACAAATTCCCACTAGATGGCGATACACTTCACGTATTTGTGTAGCAAAGTTTATAGGCATAAGAATTTAATTTTGATCAGTAATTTATCGAAACTTCTCTACGTGGATCGCGATTTAGAACTTATATATGTATTAGCTCTCATTACCACACCATTGGCAGTTTCGATTAATCACCGACTAAATCGAAGTTGCTCCGTAAAAATAAGTTGATATAATAGCAAATTATGGACAGTATATCGCCTTCTACTAATATTTGCTGCTAATTATAGTATTTATCCGGGTATCCACTCATCAAATTTCAATTTGATGATTAGTTGTCTTTGTAAGGTCCTTATCAAACATTTGAAATACTACCTACACTTAGCAGCAAATATCATTAGATGACGACATCCTGTCCATAACTTAAGAATAAAGACATGTTACCTACGTTGCTTTTAGAATATGACCAGGGCTATGTCTGTGATAATCATTATATTATTCCTCTTTATAAAAATTTATGTGTGGCTTAAGCTCATCTTGGTGTGTATATTTGTAAGTTTTTTTGCTTACAACATGTGGACAGCCAGTTATGAATTTTTTATGGTGAGTATATTTATGATTTGTTTATCTGATTTTAAAGTAGTTATTCTTGAGAAAAAATATTCATGAAATTTCAACAAAAATGATTGGATTTTTTTATGTAGAGTAGCGAATCAACAAATTATATGGTGTCCTCTAATTTGTCACATGTAATGATAACAGTCTTTTTCGCCCTTACATTACATTTGGTCGACAGACAATCAGATTATCTTAATAGACTTGACTATAATTGGAATAGACAATTAAACGCTGAAAAAAGTCAGGCAAATATTAAACATAAAATAAACAGCATGCTCATTAGAAATATTCTTCCAATTCATGTAGGTATGTTTTATCAGAACAGTAGCAATATATATTGTATATAATTAAAAAAACTTAAAGCTGAAATGTATCTGGATGTTAATCGAAACGGTGAAGAATTATTTCATGAAGAATACAAAAATGTAGCCGTTATGTTTGCTACTGCATGCGATTTTTATTTTGACAACGTCAGTGAACAAAGAGTATTAGAAATTATGAACCAATTAATAGGAGATTTTGATAAGGTAAGGCTTTCTTTGTTTTTATATTTCTGCTGTAAATTACCTTTGTTATAATAATATGAAATGTCATTTCACCATACTTATGTAGGAACTTCGCAGTGAGCTTTCAACTTATGATTAAATAGTCTAGCAATAAATGGAAAAATTACATTATTAAGTATAACACATACATTTTAGCTCTTATTGTCTCAAAATGGTCGCTTTGTTGAAAAAATAAAAGTGATAAATTGGACTTACATGGCTGCATGCGGGTTAGAACCAGGTCGTAAAGATTCTCTGGAAGAAAGGTCAGCCTACCAGGATATGCCGAGAGATCATGTTGTTATTACACTTGTAAAATTTGCTGTGGAAATGATGAAAGTCTTAAAACAAGTCGCTAAAGATTCCTTTCAAGATAAAGCTAAATTAAGGATTGGTACGTACCACATACATTCAATTTTGTATATAACTAAAAATCGCGTAAGATCAATTGATTTTACCTAGTTAAGACGAAAAAAAAAAAACATTGTATCAGCCGATTATCGAACCCATGGCGCCCGCGTGACAGGCAATAAGCATTTTACCATTGAACCATCTATGTTACTCATAAAATTCATTGAGACATTTTTTACTGACATTTATTTAATTATAAAGCAATTTAAATTAAATTTTGCCTGCCTGGCAGTATACGTACACAAGTTATTTTTGTTTTGTACATATATATGGCATAATGTCTTTCAAATGATATGAGTTATATTCTGTCTTTGTAATAAGTACCCACAAATTTCGACGTACACGTATTAATATACAAGATTATTAAAAACAAACAGGTATTTCCCATGGTGAAGTAACAGCAGGTGTTGTGGGTTCACGAAAACCTCTTTACGACATATGGGGAGATTCGGTGAATATGGCATCGAGAATGGAAACTAGGGGAATCCCAGGGAAAATTCAGGTATCAAAAAATACCGCGGAAGTGATACAGAACGAAGGATACGCTTGCGAATTCAGAGATTATATTAATGTGAAGGGTAAAGGAAATCGTGTACCCACTTATTTCGTTTCTTTAGATGAAAATAACGAACTAGTGCTCCTGTATGAATGTTGCAATACTCGATTATAATACAGTCATTTGTGTAATTATGTAAGTTGCTAGTTAATATAATTAATTTATTTTTATTATTTAATCTATTTTATTGCAAAGATCTGAATACGACGAGACTCGTTACCGGAAGTAAGGAGAGAGTTATGCAAAATCGGTATGGTCTTCAGTTGCTGGTTTCATAGCGGGAAAGAAAGAAAATATACAGTTGTCAACCATTCGATCTGCTCACTTGGTCATCAAAAGCACGACGCATTGCCATGTAGCCTACGTTGCGAAATTATTAATTACAGTATAAATTAAACAATTTTATTGATATATAGTAGCTATTTCGTTATACGAAAAAATTCGTTTCTGAGATGAATCACTTCATCCAAGTAACTTTCACACTATAATATCATATACTTTCAAAATTTGAGGTTAATTTCTTCATTTTAATCAATTCTTTTAAAAGCGATACATACAATATCAACAAATTAATTTTGCTCATTATTTATTATTGGCATTTACTGTAATTATTTTTTATTATATTTATTGTATAGCTGATGCGTAAACACTATTTTTACCGTTACTACGATCACTACCTTATTTCATGTTAATTTCTCATGTTCCTTTTTGAGGTTATGTCGATGTTATATTTACTTTTCTGACAAAAAATGTTTTATAAAACGCAATATGCCTTTCAATGCAAGTTGCAAATTAAAAATACGACATAATATTAAGATGGTACGTAGGAAACGCAAATATTTAAAAACGAAAGCACTTTTACAATGACGACAGGCATGAAGCTAGAGATGCTATTGTTGTATATCTTTTTTATTTTACAAACAACATCTAGCAATATCTCGATCGAAACTAATTTAGAATCTCCGTTATGTTGCAATTTAACGACCACGGAAAAAGTCAAAATCGAATACAGTTCGAAAATTATTGAAAATGAATATATAGTAACATTTAATGGTTACTATAAGAATCAGGCAAGGGCCAGTTACATTGGTGCTGCTTTAAATACTTCTGGAGTTCGAAAATGGAAAATATTACCCCGAGAAAATCCCGCAAGTGATTACCCCAGCGATTTTGATGTCGTTTTGTTAGAAGAATCAGATAAATTTTCTGGTCTTAATGCCCTTAAAGGACATCCATCTATCAAAAGAGTGACGTCTCAACGAATGGTTTTAAGGACGTTAAAATTTGTTGATGAAACTAATAATAGTGAAGGTTCTTGTATAGGTGTAGGTTGTAATAGTTGGAAAGCTCGTAGAATTCAGAACACGCAATTTTGGCAAGCAACAGGTCGTCATACAAGCAGACGATTGCTAAGGGCTATTCCTAGACAAATTACGTCCATATTGCAAGCAGACGCCCTTTGGAATATGGGAATTACTGGAAAAGGTTTGTAAAAATCAATCACAAATGATAGAAGCATTGCCTTGTAAGTGTATTTTCTTCAGCTTAAATCGAATATCGTATTTTTGCTGTAAGTTATCCTTAGTAGTATTGGGTTACAACAAAGGTAATATGTAACAAAAAAATATATCGTGTAATTATATAACACGCAATTGATGTGAAACTTCTTCAAACACACAAACATACCGGGATATGGGTTGAGAAATTGGTTTAATGATATTATTTGTACACTATGAATTTAAATTTTACACTATATATGGGGGAGTTGCCTGTAACGAACGTTGCATTGAAGCGCGCTCACGGTTCAAGCTATCCCCACTATGAACTCGACTAAGTGGCCGAGTAGAAGGGGGACATCCGTTGCATGATTTCGTTATATAGCAACTCGCACTACCGTGCGTAAAGAAGTTTCACTTCAAAAATCCAATCCAATTTAGTCTAGAAATGTAAAAAACTATACTTAATTGACAATTTAAAAAATAATTAATTTTATTGTGTTTGTAGGCATAAAAGTAGCTGTTTTTGACACAGGCCTTTCAAAGACACATCCCCATTTTCGAAAAATAAAGGAAAGGACCAACTGGACTAACGAAAAAACTTTGGACGACGGTTTAGGGCACGGTACTTTTGTGGCAGGAGTAATAGCATCTAGTAAGGAATGTCTTGGTTTCGCCCCTGACGCGGAACTCCACATCTTCCGTGTCTTTACAAACAATCAAGTTTCATACACTTCATGGTTCCTAGACGCGTTCAATTACGCCATTTTAAAGAAAATTAACGTCCTTAATTTAAGTATTGGAGGCCCCGATTTCAAAGACCATCCTTTTGTAGACAAAGTGTGGGAATTAACTGCCAACCGGGTCATAATGGTTTCCGCAATCGGAAATGACGGTCCCTTATATGGAACTTTAAACAACCCTGCAGATCAAATGGATGTGATTGGTGTTGGAGGAATTAATTTCGAAGACCAAATAGCAAAATTCTCTTCTAGAGGAATGACCACGTGGGAATTACCTCAAGGTACTTCAACTCACCTCAAAACTCCCCCTAATTAACCTATTTATATTTCTATTTAGGCTATGGGCGCGTTAAACCGGATATAGTTACTTATGGGGCTGGTGTAAGGGGCTCCAACATCAAAGGCGGTTGTCGCAGTTTATCTGGGACAAGTGTTGCGTCCCCAGTTGTAGCAGGAGCAGTTGCGTTGTTGGCCAGTGGAGTTCTTCATAGAAGTGACATTATTAATCCTGCCAGCATGAAACAGGCCCTTATGGCCTCAGCTAGGAGACTCCCAGGTGTTAATATGTTCGAACAGGGTCATGGTAAACTTAACTTAGTTAAAGCATACCAAATACTTAGCAGCTATAAACCACAGGTTAGTATTTCACTGTTTAGGTCCAGCTTAAATGTTCCCTTACAATAACTGCCTTTTATTTTCAGGCAAGTCTGAGTCCTAGTTACATAGATTTAAATGAATGTCCTTATATGTGGCCTTACTGTACCCAACCCCTTTATTTCGGAGCCATACCCACGATTGTAAACGTGACAATCTTGAACGGCCTTGGTGTATCCGGTCACATTGTAGGAAAACCTCAGTGGTTTCCCTATACGCCTCAACAAGGCCACTTGTTGGATATTGCCATAACATACTCCGAATTGCTGTGGCCTTGGTCAGGTTGGTTAGCTGTCAGTCTTTCGGTAACAGAAGAGGGGGCCACATATGAAGGTTTGGCCCAGGGACATATCAAAATTACCATCGAATCCCCTCCAGCCGCAGGAGAAGCCGAAGAAAGGCAGAGTACATTAACGTTACCAATACGGTGAGTTAGTAAGCAATCAAATACTAAGTTTAATTTGGTCTAAATTTCAATGAGAGATCCCGTGGGTCGAGTGGACTAGCAAATAAAAGGGCTTTACTTGCATATTTATTTGTTTTTCATTGCAAGCAATTAATCTCAATGCAAAATATTACATAAAATACAAAACAACATAATTTGATAATCAATGAGCGAAGTTAATTATTTATATGACATACATTAGCGATTTAATGAGTTAAAAACGTCTTGTCTTATCCTCTGTTTAAAATGACAATCATTTTACCTACTTTGTTTTTGTATGCGTGTTTATTAATATTTATATTTGGATTGAATTCTTAATATGGAGGAACTAAAAATTTAACTTTTTTTTAATTATTTGAAATTGTCTTAAATTGCTGTTTAATATTAGCTTCGAAAAGTTATAAAAAAAATGTGAGTAGTCAAACCATGAATTGTTGTAAATACAATAAGACTATCCTGAACTTCATGTATTTTAGATGGAGATAGGACATCAGACTTTTTAGATTTTCAGTATAATTAAAATTATGTTACAGAAAAGAGTACTTTTTATTTTATATGATAATAACTAATAGTAAAATTCTATGATACGTTCTATTAAACTGTAAACACTAAAAATTGCTGTAACTTAGGGGTTGCGTCCAAAACGGAGATATAACGAAAATAACGCAAATTGTTACCTGTTTAAGTCATACAGATTAATTTAATTTTGAAAACTATTTAGGCTATTCTTTCGCTGCCGGCGATGGTATCCGAATGAGCTGTCGGTAACGACAATAACGGTAACAAACGACATTACCTAGCAAAAATAATTAAAATTGTAGGTAACCGTGACAACATGGGCGCAGTGAATATTACCTTTTTCGCCATAATCTACGAAAACCCTTATACATGTGTCCATATAGTAAGAAATAAAACACAAAAAAATATTGAGGCAGCTGTGGGAGTGGTTAACTACATCATAATCATGATATCCCGCATCGGTAGCCGTTGTTCCATTTGCGGGCACCGTTGCCCCAATCCGGCATATCCTTTTATTTAATATATTTTATTAATTTTAGTGCAAAAATAATCCCAACGCCCCCCAAACACAAACGAATTCTTTGGGACCAATACCACAATCTACGATACCCTCCTGGTTACTTCCCAAGAGACAATTTGAAGGTAAAAAATGACCCTTTGGATTGGAACGGTGATCATATACACACCAATTTTAAAGATATGTACAAAAATCTTAGAAACGCTGGATATTATATTGAAGTTCTTGGTAATATTTGTTTGACAATAACTAAGAATTACAAAAATAAATGTAACAATTTTAGGGACTCCCTACACGTGCTTCGACGTATCTCAATACGGCACTTTATTAATAGTCGATCCTGAGGAGGAATTCTTCCCAGAAGAAGTTGCCAAACTGAAAAGAGACGTGGACGCCGGTCTTTCAATTGTAATTTTTGCTGATTGGTATAACGTGAGTGTTATGGAAAAGGTGAAATTTTATGACGAAAATACCAGACAGTGGTGGATGCCTGATACTGGTAATTGTTTCTATATGAATATGTCAAAATAAAATGACTATATATGACGTATTTTTCAGGAGGTTCAAATGTACCAGCATTAAATGACTTGTTGGCTTCGTGGGGGATAGCCTTTGGAGACAAGGTTTTCGAAGGAAGTTTCATTTTTGGGGAGCACGATATGTACTACGCCTCAGGCACGAGTATTGCCAAGTTTCCTCCTGAAGGATTACTCATTTCGAAGAAACTAAAAGACCAAGGACGTAAGGTATAATAGACGATACGTTTTACAGATATAAAATGATAACAGCGTTACAGAGGTAGTTTATTTTTAGTTGTTGGGCGCAGAATCAGAATCGGAACTAAAACACGAGGTTCCAATCTTAGGTCTGTTACAAACGAAAGCATCGGATACAAGCGGTAGGGTCGCAGTTTACGGAGACTCCAACTGCTTAGACACAAGTCATCTGGAAAGACCTTGTTACTGGATGCTAAATGCTATTCTCGAGTACGCCTCTACGTCCCATTTGCCAACGATTTTTACTGATAATCGTTTAAAGAAGGACACAGTTGTCGTGGAAACGGAAATACCTCAAAGGATGGAAGGCAATAGATTGTATAGGTATTCTAAAGTTTTGGAAAAACATTTGGGAGACCCACAGGCCAAACAACTACCACAATGCCCTCGACTTGCCTGGGTAACGCCTATTCCACTCAATACATCTGCACCAACGAATCTTTATCAGCCTCAAAAGCTTCTTGCCCTTTCTGAAGACGCTTTAAGACCTACGTTTAATGTAGAAGACGTAATTCGAGGTAAATTTCTTTATTACTACTTACTTATTAACAATTTCTGATAACAGAAATAGAGAATTATTTTCAAAATGAAAATATTTTGAAAGATGGGCTTTTGAAGAAAAATCATAATTTGCCGATTTTATATTTTAAATGATTATTGAAAAAAGTACAGATTAAAGAAAAGGGTTTTGATAAGTTGTAAAAAATGAACTAATAACAATTTTTTATTAGTACAAGACTAGATAATAGACTTATATGTTTGGGTTCTTTAACTAAAGCTTGTATTTAAATATGTATACTATTTAGAAAATTTGCTGCTTACTTAGAATCAGTTGAGCAAGATATGGATGTAGATGACGTTTTCGGATGGAGAAACAAGCAGCCAGAGATTGTATCCGTTCAAGAAGAAAACTACAGCATCACAACCGTCTTAATATGTCTCGCTTGTCTTTCATTATACATTTGCATAACATGGTGCAGACACAGACCAAAACCGAAACGTCGAAAAAACAAAATACGACGACTCCTCAACTTTTTGCATTGTGGACGAGTACCAGCCGTATGAGTAAACATCAATACCCGAACCTTAATCATCCATTCAAACTAGTTAAAAAAACACGCCCATACGAATAGCGTCAATCAAAAGACGGGCAAGGACCGCTAACGAAAACACCCAGTTTTCATATCGAATCCATGAAGAAAATCCACACATAATACTTTTTAACACCAGCTATCAGCCCACATGTGGATAATTATAAATTCATTGGTACTCAAATTTTAATTTATTGACTTTAAGGAATATTAACTTATAGTTTTCATATTGGAAACAACAAATACGTTTACATAAACGTATAAGAATGGTGTATGTGGACTAAATCAATCAACCACTTGAATGTGTGTCTTTTGTGACCTGGTCTAATACAAATATACATATATTTTTAATTAACTTGTTCAAACTAAACATTTTATCTCGTCCACATTTATTAGTTAATTTTACATTAATCAGACCTGCATGTTTTATTTTTATTGATTAGGCCTCTTTTAGTTGTTTGTAGATTTATAAGTATTTTTTATTGATCTCACTTTTGATTGATTATACTGAAAGGATATATATTTTAATTTAGGCATTTGTTACTTTGATACATACACAAATGTCTTAAAATTAATTTTAGGAGAGTACAACAGATGAACGAAAGGATATATTTATTAATTTATTTTAAACAATCTATGTGACACAGGCCTATTATCTTTTTTAATTTTAAATCATTGATTTGCACTTACACTTGTGATAATCATATATACATAGTAAATTATACATATATAAAGGAGAGTGACCTTATAATGTATAGTTATTTGATATTATTTATATAAGAATTTAATTTAATGTTTATTTTGGGTTGGAGACGTTGCAGTAAAAAAATACATTACTTGTAGGTACAACTAACTTTTATCTACTTACAATTAGTACAATACAAATGTTATAGTGTAATAAATAAGTAGTAGTATTTATTACAATTGAATACGAATCTTACGATAAATAAAATACTTTTTTCATAAACCAATAATTTAATTAATTGTGACCGACTGTGAGTGATTTCTCCTTTTAATTTAAGAAGACCAACTCATAACTCAAACAAAAATGAATTACATATGAAACAGCTTATTTAATTATTCTTACGTCTAAGATGTGTAATTATTCGTATATATGAGATGCATATTGTTCATAAGTTAACAATATTTATATATTTTCTTCATCTTCTCGTTTTCTCTTTAAACTACTATGATCAACTTCCATAGCAGTTGTGTTTGTTGATGGTGATGCCACTTGAATATTTTGAGTTATTTGAATACGTGGTTTTAAAACTGTCTTTTGATCACCTGTTCTGGGGATAGTAACTGTTTGTTTTTGAACAGTTCCAATAGTACTCCTTTTTATATAACTAACTGCTGGTCTAGTCATTATTTTGATTCCTGATGAGGCAGTTGCGACAGACGACGTAATTTTACCTGTTTTTTTTTGTGTTGGGTATTTTAAGGTGTAATTTGGAGCAGCCAAACAATGACGATCAGGGGGCAATCTTAAACCACAATGTGGCTTTATAATTGGAAGAGGTGTGTTGCTTTTGTTACGAGCACATTCTAACACGGCTTCTCTTGGGGGTGGAGTAGTAAAACTACTTTCACTAGACAACTGTAAGGCTAACCTAATATCATCTAAGTCAATGAACTTTTTCTTACAGTTATTAGCGAAATTTCGAGCTTCTTCTAGGTTTGAAGTTGCATAACGGTAAACGAAATCTGTTAATTGAATAATTGTTTTCGGTTCGTACTCTGTTATACCCATTTCTTTCATGATGGACATTATTACTTGTCCATCTTTTGGGATGTTTTTTGATTGTTGAGCCATTTTTTGTTTCTCCTTGTCCGACATTTTTAATTATAACTTAATTTTATAACATTCAAGACAATTTAATACTTACATAATAAAATAATTTATCGTTATTATGGTATTAATGTTAACTATTTGAAACATATAAACAATGTATCAAGTTTCTTTTGTAAGGTTATGCACATAGATCATAGATAATACATACACAAAGGGTTATGCATAATAGTCATAGATATAACGGTGTACTCATCATCGACGTAAAGTATGGACGTGCCTTAGCCATACGTCGTTGTAATAATTTCTTGGCTCGAAGAGTGAGGGAGATGGCGTATGGTTTCGGACTAGCGCTATCTCTTTCATGACAGGCTTACGCACTATTGTGAAAGAGATGGATATTGTCCGAAACTTCGCTCCATCTCTTTCTTATGGCGTTCCACAATTCTGACCGCTAAGGCACGTCCATTACTTTACGTCGATGGTACTCATATAGTACCATATGAAGTCGTGTGATTTGGCACCCGATATAAATAATGCGCTGGCATTACTTTGCTCATATATGGCTCATATTATCTATGATTCTCCAATGGCACACGCGCATTAGTACTATTAATGAAAAATAGTAGTATTTTGTCTATGTATTATATGCAATTATTACTAATAAATAATATAAAGATAAATTCCACTTACCATATTAGATCAGTCTTCAAGCATCAATGACACGCAATCAATTGTAATCAATTAAATTATCATATCTTCATTAGTTTTTTAAATAAATTAACATTTAATTTCTACCTGCACCCAAATCAATTTTCTTTTTTTAATAGAATTAATGAACGCACAATTATGATAATTACATATTTAGAACCCGCACAATTTATTGGTGAAGTTTAAAACAGAGGATTATTTGTATCGGGTGCTAGATTTACACGACTCGTTGAGGTGCATTGAAGTCTGAAGTTATACAACTGGTTCTGGTACCGTTTATCATAGACTTTTGCGCATAACCTATTATCATAAATACTTATTATCTATACATCGACGTCTACTAATGGACGTGCCTCAGCGGTCAGAATTGTGGTACAACGAAAGAAAGAGATAGAACGAAGTTTCGGACAATATCCATCTCTCTCACGGTAGTGCGTAAGCTGTCATGAAAGAGATAGCATTAGTCCGAAACCATACGCCATCTCCCTCACTTTTCGAGCCAAGAAATAATTAAAACGACATAGAGGTAAGGCACGTCCATTAATATATGTCTATGCTTATAATAGGCAATTATCTATGGACAACTTGTGGTTTTGTCTATGCGATGGTAATTGATGATTATCTATGTGATGATTATATGATTACCCTTTGTAGATCTATTATCTATGGGTACGTCCATACTTTACGTCGATGTATCTATACGCATTACTCATTGATATGATTCAATAAGAATATTTAAAAAAATGTAAACATTATTTACAATCGAAAAACAATAATCATCGAACAAACATCTACTGAATATTAATTAATCGATTTAAAGCAAAAAAAGTTATTTTTTTTACAAGGGGGAGCTAAATTGAGAATGAAAATTTGTTTAATTTTCTTTAAGTAAACGAAAGACGAACAAACAATTATTTCTGACGAACAAACGACAAATTCACACACAGTATCTTATTCACACAATTAGTTAATTATTTAGAAGTGGGGTTTCAGACAAAAAATTTCCTTTCCCTAGCATGTTGAAAACCTATTATTAACATTACTTCCTTAATGCTTTATAAATCATATTCTTTCCCGAACTAATTTTTTGTAGGGCAATAAAAATCCTACCTTTTGGTATCCAATGTTCAGCATCATAAACTTAATTATAATTAATGTTTTCCTTATTTAAATTTGGCAGTAGGGGATGATCTTTGCAACTAAAATAACTTCAACTGTCGGCCATTTCCAGTTATAACGGAAGTTGATACCAACTTTATTTTAAATGAAATAGTATATTTTTTACGACAAATTCGTATGAAACACAAACTTTTAACTACCGAACTTGTATGTCTTCCACGAATAATTCCTAAGATAATTTAATTTATAAAAAAAAGATCGCTACCGCAACCGAAATTATAATAAAATTAAAAAGAAAATAATTCACATTTACTTGTAAATATCCCTTCCACCCTCCCTATTTGTTGGTATTTAAATAAGTGCACTTGGAATTAATTTGTAAACTTTCTTCTTCTACCTGAAGAAGCCACAACACTGTGAAAACTTGTTTTTCAATTTTTTATAACGATATTTAGTAGAAATTTTGACTATTAGAACTGTAAAATTTTAAAAAATTATTTAATAATCAACGGGTAATTACATCGTTACAAAAGAAAAGGATGTGGATGAGCATATAACGTACAACACCCACTTTCAAAAAAAGAAAACAGATATAGTTTTTAAATTTAACCATTACTATTACATTTATTATTGTTACTAAAACAAAATTAACAATATATCTATTTCAAATCAGTTCAAGCCTTATTTACTTAAGTCGTTATTAATTAAATTAAAATCTTTCTTTAAATCTTCGTTACTTTTTTCCAGAGAAATAAGAAATTCTTTTACCTGTTTTACTATCCGATCATTGGCATCATAAATTCCATTGGTTACTTCCATTACTAACTGCTAAAAATTTATGATATAAATGTAACTACACATCCTATTAAAAAAAAGAGATATTTACCATTTCTTTTCTTCTGTTTTGGCTGACCGACAAGCAGGCTTTTGTAATTTTTTCTGCAACTTCTGTTTGGAACTTGTAAATTTTTTCTGATTTTTCTTTCCGCCTATATTTATGATAAAATAATTTTTATTAATTTTAGGATTGGTTGTTCAATACATTTAAATAAACACAATAATATATAAATATACTACACAAACGTTGTAAGCACTGGATACTGCGAACCGAAAAAAAAAAAAAACGGTTGGTCACGTTAACAAATTCTGTATTTACACATCGAATTATGACGGATTATCGCAGTACCTATTATCTAATATTTCTCAACATTTACGATGGTAACTGCTTGTCCGTATCTATTATAGGTAAAAAAAATTCAAAGTATTCTTTTTTCATTTCCAAAAGTTTAAAAAGTAGAGGGTCGAAGTTTATAAATGGAATACCAGAATTAATTAGAATATCAGATGAAAGGGCTCTGCTAACACATTCTAGATATACTTTTTTAGTTTCAATATACAGTTATTGAGTTATTACACAAAGTGTGAAAAATACCTTTTCTCCTTTAACTCCAATAATAGGAGAAGTTACACTTAATAACGTATTTATTTAGGTACGAAATTTTCATTGAGAATACTTACACGTTAATGAATTCTTCCAATTTTTCTCTTGCATTTTGATTTGCTTCTTGAGACATTTTGCATTCGTGTTGGACTTCGTCTAGCACACGAACTGCATTTTCAACTTTTTTCTTTAAATCTTGCAATTCCTAAACATTTCTTTCTCATTTTCTCAAATAAATAAATAAATTGATAGTAAATCACATAATTTAAAACAATAAAAATAAGTACTTACAGCCTTTATAAGATATTGTGATTCGAATAATTTTCTTTCCGTTTCTTCGAAATCTAATTCTTCTTGTCGCACTTCCTTAGCAAGCTGACTACTTTTTTTTGTTACCTAAAGAACAAAAGAAATTTAAAATACATTAATTTAATTTATTAACGAAAAAAAAATTCGCAGTCTAGTGAATGTCTCGCTGTTGTGATAATAATTACACTACATTAGATGTTAAAAAAACCCACACATATCTTTTTTATCACAATATGTACTCAGATAGAGAAAAACGCATTTTTTTAAATATAAATAAAGTAAAAAAACTAAAACCCCCACCACGTTTCAACTACTCATTCAAAAGTAATAAACAAGACTTAATTAGTAACTTTTAGTAATTACTAAGTCGCAATAGGATTTTATTTTTTTTTATTGTTTGTATTACTTACAAACTTAGGAGTAGGTATAATAGTGACATGGATTGGGTGAATTTTGACCGAGGATGGTACTAATAACTAATAACACAGCAATACAAGGGGTAAAACGGTAATTTTGATTTTTAATGGTAAATAAACTTTCCTTACTTCACTTTTCACGTCGATCAGTCTTTGATAAATTTCATCCATTTCTTGTAGTCTTTTTACGCTATCATTTTTTTCTTTTTCGTATTGAACTTTGAACTTTTCCATTTCCTATAAAAAATACGCTTTTTTTTTTTTTAATTTTAATATTATTTACTTACATTTAAAAATTCTGGATCGGTAAATTTCGTCTCTCGAAGCGTTTCTATAGCAATGTCTGGTTTTATACGTTTTGCGTCTTTTATAACATTGTTTATTTTATTTATAATAGTTTGTACCTGAAATAGCTTCTCATTAATATGCATGGTGCATGAAAGAGGCCTGGTTACTCACTGTACGTCTGTTTTCTGCCAATTTTAAATCATTTCTGTCGCTAATTTCTTTCAATTCTTTTAAACGTTCTTCCTTCAAGTTTTTAGTAAATTTAAAGTCAGCTAATTTTTGTAAAAACTCTTTTCTAGTCCTGGTACTGTACTGCTGGTTGGAAATAATTTCTTTTAGTTGTAAAATGGATTCATAAAGTTGCTCGCGTTTCTTATCTGGAAATATTAACAACTTTAAAATAAATTTTTATGCATTGTATTGTATACATGCCAAGTTTTTCCTTTTTATCTGCTACTTTTTCTCTTGATATTTTTAAGTTCTCTTGCATTTTTGTTTTATTAAAGTTGCAGTTTTCAATATTCGTTTTGATTATTTCAATTTTATTTTTATAGTCCTAATAACATAAATATGGAATAAAGTTATATAATTAAAATAATAAAAGAGGCACCTGGTTTTTTTGAAAAATATCATTTTCCTGTTCAGTTAAGGCTGTCAATTGTTCTTTCAGAACTTCTATTTCATTTTTACATTTTTCTAAATTATCTGAGTTTACTTCATAAATAGCACCTAAAAAAATGATATACTGTTATTGTATACATTCATTTATAGTTTTATAATTTCTTACGAAGGTTTTGTTCATATTCTTTAAAAACTATAGCTTCATCTTCATTATTTTGCCTTTGAACGACCAAATCAAAATGAGCCTTTACTTTGACCTAAAAATATTTTGTTCAAATATTAATACTAATTACCTACTTGGTATAAATAATGTGAACACTTCACCATAAATAAAGTAGCATCTCTAGAATTAGTAGTTTCTGGTACCACTAATTTTATGACCTTTGTATTAATGCTGTCCAACTTCTCAATTAAATCGACTAGCCATGAAAGAACAGCAATTATATGGGCCCAAGAGTGTGGTACATTTACTAATACAATAATTAGAACTTAATAAAACAAAAATCTATTAAATAATAATCAAATGTTGAAAGTGGTACCTGTTTTCATTAATGATGGTTTAACAGCTGCAGGGTATCTGTAACACTTAAGCCTTGCAGGCACTTCTTCCACATAGTTTTCCTTAGTTATATTGATCCTTTCATCGATAGATTTAAACAATAAGTTTATAATGCCAACAAACATTTCAATTGATATGCCAGCTTTTACCTTTTCAGTTATTTGAAACTTTATGAACAGGAAATTTTGAACCTTTGAAAATAAGCAAATACATTTAAAAGTTCAACATGTTATAAACGTTACCTTAATTAACTGTTGCTTCTGCCAATCTTTATCATTTATAGGTCTTTTATCGATTTTTTTGACAGATACAGCAGATGATAAGGGAGATTTTGATGATGTCCAAGTTATCTTTTTATTTCCAGATGTTATAGGTGTCCGAGTTGAGGATCTTGCCCTGTTTGTCACCAATGGTGTAGTCTAAAATAACCGTAAAGTTGTCTTTTACTCATTTTTTGAGAAATATTGTAACGTACTAGTTTACTACTAAATCTGTCCATACTTTTGCTGTTTCGCATCTGGTGGGTTTGTTTTGCTCGGGCTTCAGAAGTTCTCGATTGTCTACACATTATAATTTTTTTATTTCATAAGTCACAGTTATAAATTAAAATTACTACCTTACTGTTAATTTCGATTCTCTCTTGGTTAACGAGTGTGAACTTCCTTCTCTACTTATTACAGGGATCATTGAAGATCCATCTCTTCTTAAAATTGGAATTGAAGAACTACTAGCTGATCTTTTCAATGAACTCATCTCGATTTATTTAAAATAATTTTTTCAATTAAAGTATATTATTAAATGAAAATTATTAAGATATAAAGCTACCACAAAACTCTTGGAACTTCGAACACATACTTCTAACGGGAACGGTTACATTACTTTTAAATCTCTTCTTATGCTCTTCTTTGCTCTTTTTTATCGATGCCGTAAACATAGGTACCATAGATAATCATAGGTACCATAGGAAACAGTTGGCGGCATAGATTGTTGGCAGCAGAAGAGCTGTCAAAATATATAATAATAGTTAGTGATAGTCACAATCACATATTTCATACATAGAGATAGAGGAGATAATAATAGAATTAAATTATCTCTATGGTCACATCTAGGGCATGAAGATTTCTCGTGTCTATTATGAAGACTACAAGAAGTCCAATCTAATTTTATCTTAATTTCTGTAATGTCATATAAAAATTGCCTAAACATCGTCCAGAGAATTAGATAAAATAGAGGAATAATCTTTATGGCTGCACACGTGAAGAATACTATAGATATAATGCCCAATCACATAAAAAAAAGTAGTAGATCGCTGTAGTCGCTATGCCCAAGACATTACATTAAAAAATACATTAACCTTTATCTTCACACGTTGAAAATGATAATGGAATTATAAACAAACTGAATAAATAAATACTTTTTGAGTTATATTGGTGGTCTTGGCAGTCGCAGCGCCCTCTATTTTATTAAATAGCACAATTTTTATCTACAAAGATTATCTATCTGATTTCAGCAAATATATATTCCTTCTTAACAGTTGATTTGTTTATTTGATTAATTATTGATTGCTGTTTAAATTTATAATTTTAGAATAATAAATGGTTTAAAATAACATATTTCAATATTTATTTTTCCCAAGCGCCGACGAGGAATATGGAGACACTATTTCATGAGAAATCTCACCTGGTCTGTGATACCTTATGTATCTATGAAATTAACCAGAAAAATATAACAATAAACAAAAATAAATAATATTATCATTTGGAACCATTTGTAACCATTTCGCCAAGTAAATGCAACTGAAGTCACTCATATAAAAAAAATTGCAGTATGAACTTACACAGTGATATGTTTCTAATTTATTTTGTGACAAATAATGTTTAGTATTTAATAATTACTCATAAGTTGAAAATAACATTTCAATTACCTAAATCTTATCATAATAATATTATACGACACAACAATGATTTCAAGACGTTAAATTATACGAAACGTACTTATAAAATATGGGTAGTTGTGGATACCTAAAAATTTCGTGCGTCCTTGGGATAATAGTGAGAATAGCACTTAAACTGTGGGCATATTCTGGAATAGTTCTTGTAATATGTTTTCTTTTGTATTATTTTTATGGTGGATATTTCGCTTTTGGGTTGCTAGTTTTTGCATTAATAGGTAAGTAACAAAAATATTGTTTGCTAATGATTAGTAAAGTAATTGTATTAATAATTTTATTACAGGTATTTTTTACCATGCTCAAGACAACTTCCTATACTATCCAGATTTGCCCACTCATTCTAGAGTGTATGTGCCTGTACCAACAATATATGGTCTTCCTTACGAAAATGTGAACATTGTTACACCAGATGGAATAACACTACACATGTTTTTTATACATCAACCCAAAGATAAGCAACACAAATCGCCAACGATTGTGTTTTTACATGGTAATGCGGGTAATATTGGACACAGACTACAAAACTGTGTTGGCTTCTATCACAACCTTAGTTGCAATATTTTATTAGTTGAATATCGAGGCTTTGGTCTTTCACAAGGCTCACCATCTGAAGAAGGACTGTATATTGATGCTAAAGCAAGCATTGACTATTTATATGGAAGGAATGATATTAATCATTCTGAAATTATAGTTTTCGGTAGATCTCTTGGTAAAAGTGTAAGATAAAAAGAAAGTGAGGTCATGGAATAATTAAATTAATTTAAGGTGGAGCTGTAGCAGTAGATTTAGCTAGTAGAGTCGATTATGCAGATAAATTATGGTGTTTGATTGTGGAAAATACATTTACTAGCATTCCAGACATGGCCAGAGTGTTGTTAAGTTGGAGGTTTATTAATTACATTCCCCTATTTTTGTACAAAAACAAGGTAAGGCCTATTCAAAATTTTATTGTCGGAATTAGTATTTATACCTGAGATTTCCCTTGAAATTTTAGTATGTTGTTCAGCATGTAAGTGCGTGGAAAAAATTTCTTTACATAAATTTCTGGCTTTGGGAAAAGCAACTCATGCAACCTAATTCAATCGTAACTTAACTTAGCCCACACTAAGATAATTTCCAGGTATACACTATCAGCACTAACTGCAACTTAATTTACTGAAGAAAAATAAATATATATTTGCTAGAAGCTCTGCTTTTAAAAATTTAATAATATGATTACAGAACCTAAATCATTAAATTTAACTAAACAAAGATTAAGAAATAAACTAAAAAAATGGCTTAAGTTGAACTAGAAATTTATTATTGCCTATTAGTGTTTCTGAGATTTGGTGTTATATACGAATACCTCACATTATTTATTTTCCTCCTACTATGTGTATTTATGTCTGTATACCGTATATACAAAATTATGCATACATTCTTATTCAACGTACTAAAATTTTAATGAAATTGGAGGTGTGTAGTAATTGGGACAATTACGTTCTTTTTTAAAGTTATGTAGCAATAGGAAAGGTAAAATGAGACCCCATCTTTTGTAGTTTTCATCTTTTTATAAAGTAATGCACATAAGAACCCCCACACTTTTTATATCAGGCATGTCAGATGCGCTGGTGCCTCCTGCTATGATGTCAGAATTACATAGTCGTTGCGGGAGCGCCATAAAGCAGCTCTTGCAGTTTTCAACAGGCACTCACAACGAAACATGGACAGTGCCTGGTTATTATCACGGGATCGCTATTTTTCTACAACACTGTCGTATACAAAATCCGGAAAAGAGTAACAAACGTGTTGATGATGAAAAAATACGGGTCGAAAGTGTAAAATGGGGTACCGTTGTCAACATATGATGAGTACTTTCTTAGTACACGTACACTTTTTATACGTAGTGCTAATTAAACGTTTATTGCAAATAGTTTTGAAAGGCTAATTAATTGTAGCCAATTAATTTCATTTTTACGTAAGAAAAATTGTTGTTTGATTATAACTTCATTTTCTTTTTTATTGTTTTAAAAGAAGAGCTTTTTAACTTACAATTGGCATAATAATTTCTATTGTTTCAGACAGTAAACTTTCAAAATTAAATAAATACCTTAAATAAAGTTGTCATTTGCAATAAACACTTAAAATGGTTATTTCACACCTTTGAGTCAGTAAAGGTGTGTATTTTTATAAGTTGTAAGTTTATGACGTAATATAAGTTATTAAAGGCAATAAATTATATCTTTTATTATGATTAAAAATAATTGTGTTTTTATTACTTGATTTTTGATAACACATTCATCTATCAGATAAATTAGTTTTTCAAATTGTTTTTGTAATGATTACCCGACTTTAAATAAAACCTTTATTCTAAATCTAAACTTTATATATACAGTAAGTATGTTTTCCTATTAATGTAATTGCTATTTTAACAAATTAAGCTTTGCCTTAACATCATAAGACAACTTTGAAAATTCTATAAAGTCCCATGTATGTTCAAAATTATTATGTAGGGCTTTAGCAAAGTTCAAGTCACTGGAAAATACGATATTTTCGTAGTTATTAAAAAGACCTGTTATAGTCCAGTTCATTGATCCAGCACTTATAAATCCTTCAATGTCTTCTACATAGTCTTTGACCATGTATTTGTAATGCATAATGCTTTCCCTTTCTTTTATTGAGGGAACATAGTAGTTAACTTTAATACCTAAAATCAACGTATAAACAATAAAATAAGTAAATAAAGTGACTTGCAAGTTTTCAAAACCTGAGGTCTCTATTTTTTTAATAAGAGAATTTCCTTTTGCACACAGAAAATCGACAATTATTCGAATTTGTACTCCTCGATCATTGGCACTTAGTAGTGCTTCGCCAATTGTATTTATTGTTAAAGCCATAACAGCAATATCAAGTCGGGTCTTAGCTGTTGATATGAAATAGCAAATTGGCTCAAAATGAATGTTAATATTGCTTACAAGGTTTTTTACTAATTTGTTGTCTGTAGGCCACCCTGTCATTCTTTTGCCTCGTGAATACGTTACTACACAATTATGCCTCATATAAAATAAGCGGTTTTGTTTCCATTTCTGCCTTTTTTGAAGTAAACACCAAATAAAAAATGACCATGTGCTTAGAGAAATAATAACGCTAGCTCCATACCACAGCTTTAATATGCATGCCATACTTTTACTGATAAAAAGTACTTACTGTTATACATTAAATTAATAATTAGATTTCGAGTTAAAAAAATTATACTACTGTTGCCGCTTAATTAGAAAGTACATAATTTTACGTAACTTCATTTAGAATGAGTTATTTTGTATCCTCAGATTAATTTGTAACTTTCAAGGTTCCTATTGTTTAAATAGTTTAAAAATTTAAATTATTTTATTTATATTTGACAGCAAAATTCACGTTACTTTATTTCAAATCATAACAGATTACAGATAAATATTCCAGTAGCAGATTCACCAGATTGATAACCATCATAGATAATAGATATACAAAGGGTAATCATATCATTGAAGTGTAGTCTAGTTCAATGAATCATATAATCATCACATAGATAATCAATTACCATCACATAGACAAAACCACAAGTTATCCATAGATAATAAGCATAGACATATATTAACGGACGTGCCTTAGCTGTATGTCGTTTTAATTATTTCTTGGCTCGAAAAGTGAGGGAGATGACGTATGGTTCCGGACTAGTGCTATCTCTTTCATGACACGCCTACGCACTATCGTGAGAGAAATGGATATTGTCCGAAACTTCGTTCCATCTCTTTCTTATGTTGTACCACAATTCTGACCGCAAAGGTATGTCCATTAGTAAACGCCGATGATTATAAGCATGTTAGTTCATTGATATTGGTTAATTGATGAATACCATAGATGAGAGATATATAGTATAGACATACAATAGCATAGTATACGTCAATGATATATAGTATATTATCTATGTATAGTATATTTCTAATCTGTGATGAATACAAATGGTTTATAACCTCTAAATCATTTAAATGTCAAATATAGTCAAAATATTTAATTTTTATTTATTATGCATCGAAATATTAATCATTTTCAGATTCATTACCTTAAAACTTTTTTGAAAGGAAGCGCTTGTAACCGTAGTTGTTTGCTAAATGTTAACAGAAAATTATTTTCTAATTTTCTTTCTAGCAGACATATAAACTGTCCTCGAAGGAAGGTAGGAATTTTAATAACAAGTTGGTATATTTCACTAATTCTGTGACGTTAGGTTTTGAAAGCTGTTAAGAATGAATATGGAGCAGTTTGGGCTCTTTTACATCGATCTGGCTTCAATGAAAATGAATTTGTTAGATATATAAATAAAAGAAATATTCATTCGTCATCTCAGAGATTCCAGCAGAATGACCCTAACGATCGTGAAAAGAAACCAAAGAAAGACAGTGAAGATAAAGTATCGTCATTATTGGCTAAAGCTTTTTTATGGATGCTCACTGCATACATGATAATAGCAGTTATTTCTTTGATGTTTCCAAACAGCAGTCAGCCTGAGGTATGTTTAGAGAAATAGAACATTGTTTAGCTTTGGGGAGGATATCAGTTGATTCTGGGTCCATCTGCCCTGGTTCAAGTCTTTTTGTGGTTTCCTTGGATCACATAGGCAAAGCTGGGGCAATAATATTCCTCAGATAATCTTACTCTTTTCTGTTCAATTTGTCTGTCCCATCTTTCTCACCTCAACTATCAGCCACCCATTCTCACGATTCCTAAAGGGATGTTAAAAAGGGCCTTCTGCACTATCTTCAGTGTAGTCTGGAGGGTCAGCTCACCCACCAACCTTAGTAGTTGATGGGAATGAAACACCCAAAAGTTTTTTTTATGTGTATTTGCTAATTTTAACTTAATTCAGTTTTATTTTATTATCAAATAAATAATATGTCCCAGGTTGTAAGGTACGTGTCATGGAATGAATTTTTATACCAAATGTTAGCAAAAGGTGAAGTAGAAGAGATAATTGTAAGGCCTGATGTCGAAGTTGTAACCATTGTCTTGCATGAAGGAGCAATTGTTAAAGGCAAAAGGGTAAATTTGTTACAAATTCAATATTTCATTGCTAATAACAGATGTTTTTTTTCTTTTAATTTAAGGTTGATCATAGAACTTATCATATGAATGTGGTTGATATTAATAAATTTGAAGATAAATTACGAGAGGCTGAAAGGAGGCTAGGAATTAAAGAAGGTGTACCTGTCACTTATGAGAGAGGAGGAGATGCTGCAGGAAGACTTCTCATTACTTTGTTACTTATTGGTATTATATTATCAATTTTATCAAGAAGCAGAGGAATCCGTTCTCCCCTTAGTATGGATACATTTGTAAATAGCAGGAGAGTTTTCATTTGTAGCATAATTTTATTAAAATATAACATTTCAGACTCAACTTGGACGCGCCAAATTTACTTTAATAGATCCTCTGACAGGACCAGGAAAGGGTGTTCATTTTTCCGACGTCGCAGGTCTTAAAGAAGCAAAACAAGAAGTCATGGAATTCGTTGATTACCTTAAAAGGCCTGAAAAATATAAAATGCTGGGTGCAAAGGTTTGCTGTTACCAAATAAAAGTACTCTTGTGATTATACATTTACATTCTATTAAAAAGGTTCCCAGAGGAGCCCTACTGTTAGGACCACCAGGTTGTGGAAAAACTTTGTTGGCTAAAGCTGTTGCAACTGAGTCAAATGTACCATTTTTGTCCATGAATGGGTCTGAATTTATCGAAATGATAGGAGGATTAGGGGCAGCAAGAGTTAGGTCAGTTTAAAGTGAAATTAAAATCATTTTGTTATAAATATTGAAAATGTCTAGGAATTTATTTAATGAGGCCCGCAAAAGAGCGCCGTGTATAATATATATTGATGAAATTGATGCAATTGGGAAAAAAAGGAGCGGTCAGATGAATTTGTCAGGGGCAAGTGGTGAAAGTGAGCAAACGCTAAATCAATTATTGGTCGAAATGGACGGTATGGCTACCAAAGAAGGTATTATTATGCTAGCGTCGACTAACAGAGCTGATATTTTGGATAAAGTACGATCCCAAAACCAAATACTTTAAAAAAACATTGATACGTTTCCTTCTATTTCTATTAAAGGCACTTTTAAGACCAGGGCGTTTCGACAGACATATTCTAATAGATTTACCAGACATTGAAGAGAGACAACAAATTTTTGAACAACACTTGAAGCATATTGTGTTAGAAAAACCCCCGAATTATTATTCGAAGCGCCTAGCATATTTAACTCCTGGATTTAGCGGGGCAGACATTGCGAACGTCTGCAATGAAGCTGCTTTACATGCTGCGAGAGTCAAGCAGAAACAGGTGACTGCTCGGAACCTCGAATACGCCGTTGAAAGAGTAGTTGGTAATTTTATATATATTTATTTTTCCTCATTAATTTGAGGAAGTGTGTAGTGGGTAAAAATTCTGAAATGAATTTTCAAGAATAATATTTCATATTAAACTAACTCACTTCTAAAAAATGTCTAAATTGTATGTATGTTTAATCATAGTATATTCAGTATATAGTTATATTAGTTCGACGGATTTGTGACCTAATAAGTACGGTTTGTCGTTGTTGCTGTTGTCATCTCTCGTAGCTTAGTGGTCAAAGCATTGGCGCGTAAAGCCAAAGAGCCCGGGTTCGATTCCCGGCGGGGATGTGACAACAGCAACAAAAATTTTTCCTCATTAATTTGAGGAAGTGTGTAGTGGGTAAAAATTCTGAAATGAATTTTCAAGAATAATATTTCATATATATTTATTCGTTGAATTAGGATTGTTTCCAAGAATTGGTGGTATGCAATCAGTGCTCACCTTAAACTAAAAGTGTATATCCTTTTTGTTTTTATTACTTTAGAATTTTATGTTTATCCAAACGATGAAGCTGATTTTCTGTAGAGTTTGCCCCTTCCTTTTTCAATCTAGTATTACCGATTGCCATCTTGTACAACAAATCTGTGTAGTACTATTAAAACTTGACCACCTGCAACACCTAACACTGGTGTCAGAATGCTAATGCTCTAGTCCTATGCTCACAACTTATAGATTGGAGCTGTTTATGTTTGTAGCGTTGTTGCAACGTTTCCAAGTAGTAGCTACTAGTCAGCAGGTTGTACGAGGGAATTTAAAATCGTCAATAAGTCTTTTCGCGGAGAAACGTTTAAATAGAAATTTCAAATGCTGACTTTTTGATCTCTAGTACCGCAAAGTGGGTTGAATTTTTTTCTACGTGTTAAGAACGCTATTGGAAACAAATAAGTAAAATTTTAAGGTGATCTTAAGAATTTTTTATTTGGGAACGTCCTTAATAATTTTTGGATCCTGTTTATTCATTTATTTAATTACAAATAATTGTAAAATTACAACTTCTTGTAATGCATTTAGATTGTATTTTACAAAGAATATACACTTAATTACAGGTGGTACTGAAAAAAGGAGCCATGCCATGTCCCCCGAAGAAAAAAAAGTCGTTGCATACCACGAATCTGGCCATACGCTTGTAGGTTGGATGCTGGAACACACAGACGCGTTTCTTAAAGTTACAATAGTTCCTAGGACAAATTTAGCCTTAGGCTTCGCTCAGTATGTCCCCAGAGATATGAAATTGCATAGTAAGGAAGAAGTGAGTGAATTAAATTAATAAGTAGTACATTACGTATCGAGGGAAGAAACAGGGTTATTTCAGACTGCATGTGTTCAGCGCATGCGCTCAAAAGACTAATTTCATTTCCTCCCGACTAAAACACGGCTGAAAAGAGGCCATTTCTTCCCTATTTCATAGCACGCAAAACGAGCTTTCCGCGCTAACATGACAAAGAAAAATAAGTTTTCAGTTGTGCATTATATGTGGTGCTGAGAAACCAAACAGATTTTTCAAATATTGACTGGATTAGTATACTTCATACGCGTTTGTAGTAAGAAAAAAATAATTAAGTACGGTTCTGATATATGGTGTGGTTTGTGGTTTTTTATCTAATGTTTATGTATATATTTTTTGTATTATTTAATGTATAAGAAATAAGTAGCAAAAATTACATGACAAAGGTTAAAATTGATTTTAAAATAACTACAAAAAGATTTAAACAGAGCTGAGCTCTACTAATTAAAACAAAATTGTAAAATATTGTTTTAAAGTAATTTGTTTATAGTTATTAACGGGATTAATGTGCTCTGATGGCAATCAATCTGTTGTTATTATTATCTTATTTATGTTACTGAAAAGAGAACTTCAAGGGTCGCTCTTGTTTTTAGTTTAGTTCCTTCTGACATTGTTGACCGCCCACTTAACATCCTTACATCTCAATATGGTAAATAAATGTATGATATATATCATAAATAGGGCCGAATTAAATATTTTTTTCTTTTGATTTTTTTTTTGTGTAAATAAAATACAAAACATGTATTGTACACCATTCATAACAGGATCCATTTTGAATAGACGAAGTTGAAGGTAAAATAAACACGAGACCTATTTTGTTTTTAATACATTCACAAGTACCCCCAAATATCAACATTGAGAAACTGTTTGGTTTTTCTATAACTTGTTATTGGAATGCAATTTTGCTCTGCTCTCGTTCAAGTAACATTGTCTTTGCCTGTATACTGTATTAAAAATATCTTTTTTTGTAGCTGTTTGAAAAGATGTGTATGGCCCTTGGAGGTAGGGTTGCGGAATCTTTAACTTTCAACAGAGTGACCACAGGAGCCCAGAATGATCTCGAAAAGGTGACGAAAATAGCCTACGCTCAAGTGCGAGAGTTTGGCATGAGTCCTGTAGTAGGTTTAGTGTCATTTTCGGAACAGGAAATGAAAGAAAGGGGTAAGAAACCTTTCAGTAAAAAGATGGCTGCTCTTATTGACCAAGAAGCAAGGAGACTAATAGCAGATGCCTACAAGCGCACGGAAGAAGTGTTGCTTAAAAATAAAGACAAACTGGAACTGGTAATTTTCATTAATTTTCTATTTTGTAGATAAACCTTTTTAATATCCTAGATAGCTGAAAATTTGTTGAAAAAAGAAACTTTGAATTATGAAGACGTCGAAAAACTCATTGGACCGCCACCGTACGGTAAAAAGAAGCTTATTGAACAAGCAGAGTTTGAAGAATCAGTAAGAAGTGATGCTGGTGTTGTACCAGTCTCTAACACAGCAAAAGGAATTTCAACTTCCCAACATGAAGCGGAGAACGGTAAATCACCTGAACAGTCGGTAACGAAAAGTTAGAAGGTAATAAAAAAATAATGTAAATATGAACCTGCTAGTATACAGAAAATAGAACAATGTTATTTAATATTTTAACAAGATAAATAGTTATCCTTATAATTGGCTTTTTAACCAGTAAAAAAAAATTAGTCAATTATGGTNTTAAAATAACTACAAAAAGATTTAAACAGAGCTGAGCTCTACTAATTAAAACAAAATTGTAAAATATTGTTTTAAAGTAATTTGTTTATAGTTATTAACGGGATTAATGTGCTCTGATGGCAATCAATCTGTTGTTATTATTATCTTATTTATGTTACTGAAAAGAGAACTTCAAGGGTCGCTCTTGTTTTTAGTTTAGTTCCTTCTGACATTGTTGACCGCCCACTTAACATCCTTACATCTCAATATGGTAAATAAATGTATGATATATATCATAAATAGGGCCGAATTAAATATTTTTTTCTTTTGATTTTTTTTTTGTGTAAATAAAATACAAAACATGTATTGTACACCATTCATAACAGGATCCATTTTGAATAGACGAAGTTGAAGGTAAAATAAACACGAGACCTATTTTGTTTTTAATACATTCACAAGTACCCCCAAATATCAACATTGAGAAACTGTTTGGTTTTTCTATAACTTGTTATTGGAATGCAATTTTGCTCTGCTCTCGTTCAAGTAACATTGTCTTTGCCTGTATACTGTATTAAAAATATCTTTTTTTGTAGCTGTTTGAAAAGATGTGTATGGCCCTTGGAGGTAGGGTTGCGGAATCTTTAACTTTCAACAGAGTGACCACAGGAGCCCAGAATGATCTCGAAAAGGTGACGAAAATAGCCTACGCTCAAGTGCGAGAGTTTGGCATGAGTCCTGTAGTAGGTTTAGTGTCATTTTCGGAACAGGAAATGAAAGAAAGGGGTAAGAAACCTTTCAGTAAAAAGATGGCTGCTCTTATTGACCAAGAAGCAAGGAGACTAATAGCAGATGCCTACAAGCGCACGGAAGAAGTGTTGCTTAAAAATAAAGACAAACTGGAACTGGTAATTTTCATTAATTTTCTATTTTGTAGATAAACCTTTTTAATATCCTAGATAGCTGAAAATTTGTTGAAAAAAGAAACTTTGAATTATGAAGACGTCGAAAAACTCATTGGACCGCCACCGTACGGTAAAAAGAAGCTTATTGAACAAGCAGAGTTTGAAGAATCAGTAAGAAGTGATGCTGGTGTTGTACCAGTCTCTAACACAGCAAAAGGAATTTCAACTTCCCAACATGAAGCGGAGAACGGTAAATCACCTGAACAGTCGGTAACGAAAAGTTAGAAGGTAATAAAAAAATAATGTAAATATGAACCTGCTAGTATACAGAAAATAGAACAATGTTATTTAATATTTTAACAAGATAAATAGTTATCCTTATAATTGGCTTTTTAACCAGTAAAAAAAAATTAGTCAATTATGGTTAAGTTTTTTCATTTCTGATGTTTTTACTAGGTAATATCCTCCCTATTTAACTTCAGTCGATATTCTACTATATTCCTATTGTCTATGTTTATTACTTTAATTAGTTATTATGAATAAGATCTAGATAAAGTAGACCTCTCTTAGTCCAGCCATTATGTATAATTGTTATTTTTTTTGTTTTCCCTTTTTTATCCACTTGATCCTAGAATTAATAACAGATTGGGAGTCAGTTTTTATCAATAATTTTTCGATACCTAGTTGTTGGAGACTTCAACACAGTAATAGGTGAGGGTAAAGTGGATGCAATAGCAGGTCCTTTTGGACTAGGCAATAGAAATGATAGGGGAGATAGACTGATAGAATTTTGGGATAAACATAACTTAACCATCGCGAATACTTTATTTAACCATCACGTTAGAAGGCGCTGTACGTTTGAACAAAATTAATTTTAATATGTTGTACAGTTTTCCGTGCTGATTAAGTATATACATACATGTTGGGAGCAGAAACCATTTCTTCCCCTAGTATTTGGAGTGAAGGTGAGCATACTAATAAAAACATTTACCCACTTCTGTCCTCGCGAATTTGAAAAAGATTAAAAATGTCTTATGAATGAGAAATGTGTATGGTGGATACGGCAGAAAAGAAAAAGTTAGAAACGTTCAAGATGTGATATTATAACTAGTAGATGATATGTAATACTAATACCTACCATAGATAGGAAAGATTAAAAAGTAGAACAAAGGTCAGTACGAAATCAATAAGAAAAAGGAGACAGAATTGTTTGATAAATGTGGAATATTTAATTTTTAAAAAAAATGCAATAATTGACTTAGAACGGAAAAGAGTGAGGGTGTGCATTTAAACTGTCTTCGGACTGACGACCTTGTGGTGACAAGAAACGACGATGTATTAAAAACAAATTATTACATTTTTAATGTTTTCATCATTATTAGAAAAATACCATGTTTGTATCCCTTATGTAGGTTTGTATAAAGTTGCTCCATTTCGAGCTAACCTATCAGCCTCTTCATTACCTTCATTTCCTGCATGACCAGCCACATACTCCTAAAGATGAAGAATCTAGGATACTTTTGTTTTACTTTTATAAATTCTTACCCATTGAACATCATCTAGCAGATTGATTAATGTATCAAGTTTTACAAAATCTGTTTTATTTTTTACATCACCACCTGTTGAAAGTTTCCAGTTATTTTGTTTCCACCTCTTTATCCACTTGGTCATGGAATTAATAACAAACTGGGAATCAGTTTTTATTAATAATTTTTTGATACCTTAAAAAAATCAAGAAAAATATTGTTTGCTTTAAAGCATATAATGAAAGTGCATTTTACCATTAGAGTGAGCTTTCTCAATAGCCCTAATACAGGCTTGAATTTCAGCGGTATTATTGGTAGGCCTTCCTTTAACTGGTTCTGATATATTCCTTAAAAGTGGTACTTTTATCAATTCTTACAAATATATTAGTATATGCATAAAAAACCAACCAGGAATGACCACTTCCAAACCATACTCCTATTCCAGCCTTTGCATTAACTTTTCCATTATTTTCACATGCTCCATCTGTGTAAACAGTCATGTACCCCTTTGTTGCGTCAATATTTTGTTTTTTTACTGTAAAATTGTAATTGCTTTCAGAGCCATCAGTCTCAGAGTTTAAGGTGGAAAATTTTCTATGTATAACAAAAAGAGTTTAACAGTAAAAATACTTAAATAAAAAGTAAAAACCTTTTCTGAAGTGCTGTTAAACTTGAAGTAGTGGTTGAACATTTACATAACACTTCTTTTATGCACTGAATTTCTTTTTGTAGTACCACTACCTGTTCTTCTGCTTTTTGTAATCGTTGTTTCAGTTGTTCTATTTCATTCCTACTTCTACAAAACAATTTTTAATGTAGATATAATTAATTTAAGATAATTAATTTACTCACAATACTGACATGGTACTGCTATCTGCAATTCTTTTTTTATTAAATTGTTTTACTGGAAATAAAGACAAAAAAACTAATTTACCTTCTTTACAATACAAATTACCCATACGTAACCTACGAACGATGCTTTTTGAATAGAATTCATAGATAATAGATATACATTGATAGCATTTTATTACTGTAACCATAGAGAAGACCGTAACTATTGACTGTAACCATTGGAGTAGTCTAATTCAACATATTAAATTGAAATCTTATCTATGATTGTAATATGATTATCTATGTATGTTTATAATATCATACATTATATATAATAAGTCGGAGATCCTCGGTACACGCAACCGTGTGAATCTGGCACCTGATATAAATAATACTCTAATTTAAACTTTACGAATAAATTGTGCGTTATTTGCGGGTTGTAAATTTGTAAGTAGCATAATGATGTGTTCATTAGCTTTGTTAAAAAAAAGGAAAATTGTTTCAGGTGTAGGTGGAAATTTATTGTTGATTTATTCAAAAACTACTAAGGATATCATAATTTAATTGATGCTATTGATGCTAATCGATTGCGCGTCATTTACGCTTGACCATATAGACTGAGCTATTATAGTTTATAATTTATCTTTATATGATTTATTAGTAGTAATTACATGCAGTACTTAATTTTTCATTGATATTACTAATACGCGTGCGCCATTGGTGAATCACAGATAATATGTTCATACTAATGCCATACAATCAAGTATTATTTGCAATTATTACTAAAAAAAGAACATAAAAATAAACTATACTTACTATAATAGCTCAAGTTCCAAGCACAAATGACGCGCAATCGTTTGGCGTCAATTAAATTACCATATATTCATTACTTTTTGAATAAATTGACGTTGAATTTCCACTTGCACCCAAAATAATTTTTCTTTTTTATATGATAATAATAAGTTTATTCTCTTACCTTTGGAATACTTTACCACCACAAAGAAAGAAATACTTGTCGGTGGTAGAGATTTATGTGTAACTTACTTATTACTCTTGCCATTTAAAAGAACTAATGGACGCACAATTTACTGGTAAAGTTTGAATCAGTGGATTATTTATATCGGGTGCCAGATTACCACAACCATAGATAATAGATATACAAACTCATTTACATATAATGATTGGACTGCTTATCTATATTCTTCACGTTTCTGTCGCTTCTGCGTTAAAAAGAGGCCCAACAAGGTGTTCCCCGTTTTTTCTTCAAACATTAAATAACTAATCGTTTGTTTGTCTTTTGTAAAAATCAAACAAATTTTTCCCAATGTGACCCCCTTTCTTTTAATTATCAATTTATTCCTATGTCGGATACGCAGCCACTGCCTTTTTCATATTATTTTTCATAGAATATGTTAAGGCTCTATAACAGTAAATTCGATTTAAATAAAATTTTCATGTTGACTGCACTTAAATTTCAATAAATTCTTGTATAAAATAACACTTTGCAATTTTCAATTAAACAGCAGTAAAAAATAAATCGTCATTGAGGTTAACTGTAGATTATTATGGCTTATAGCATGTTACGGTTATTTATCAGTTATTAGTTATTATTTTTATTATTTATTATAGTTAATTTCACTTCATTATGTACTTCATCTTTACGATCTTCATTTGTGCCTGTTACTAGTTTGTGTTGCTCTATGTTTGTTATTAGCGTTGTCAGCCCTTAAAACTCGTGTTTCTAAAACAAAAATGTAAGCATAAGAACAGAGCAAACGAACGAATATTAACAGATAAAAAGAAATAAACATTGTTTACTACTAATAAAAGAAAGTTGAATCGTTTTAAAATGGTAAATATTTTTCCAATTCATGTAACGTCTTTTGTGAGTCCTCATTTATTTTGGATATTTAATTTGAATGATGAAACTGAGAGAAACAACTTGCAACTACAGCTTCCGAATGTTGCTGAAAAATGTGTTAAATACAATATTAATCAAGTAAGTATTTTACTTTGTGCTGTTGCTTGCACTTATTTTCTGATTATTTCATATACACATTCTAGTTTATGCAAGTCTTTATGTGAAAGATTATACTTAGAACTGTTGTCAGTCTAGATAAGATTGCCTTAAATACTTGAGCACAACCATTCTAATGTCTTCTTCTTTTTATTTGTGTATAGATTGTTCTTACAAAAACAGAAGATGAACCTCAAATTTACAAGAGAGCTGTCTTAAAGCATTTGGAAGTGAAAAATTGTATTAAAATTTATACTTGTTGGTTAATTGATTATGGATTCTTGGTAAAATCTCGTTGTATTTATAACATTCCTGAAGAGTTAGTAAATATTCCTTCATTTGTAAAACAAGCTTGTCTAAATAATACTGTTGGAGTGCATAAGGTATAAATTGTCTCGTTTATATTTATATTGTTTTAACATGAGTTTTCAGATGTTTTTGGATGGAGTTAAATATGAAGAATCCTTAGACTTCTCAGTTGGAGCTATAAAGATGTCCCAGGAATACATTTCTGCTGCTAAACAACTTTTTTTCAATGTAGAAACAGTAATAAATGATATTTATTGTGGTGAAATAATAATTGTTAATAATCAGAGTGAATGTAAACTCACAAAATTGCTTACAAAAGGACATAATGTTGTTATTAACGACGATAATTTTCAAGAATGTAAGTCTTCTTTTCAGTTGTAAACAACTCTTATCTTTTTTTATTACAGATTTAACAAAAAATGTTCAATGTTTCGAAAATAATTTCCTTGAAGCTATTAGAAGTTTAATTCAGTTTCCTAACATAAAAAAAACATTGCCAATCTCAGAAAATAATAGTTGCTCTGATCAACTGACCAATACAAGGAACAATTTGGCTAAAATAGTATCTGATACCACTGAAATAAATGAGGTGGGAATTGGTAGGGGCCGTTTTCGAAAAATTTTAGAGCAACAAGTAAGAAAACTGCTTAAAAGAAAAAACAAAAAATGTGAATTTATTTATTTTACAGATTAAGCCGTCTAGGGTTGATCAAAATTATGTTGAAAGGAAGAAAAGTAAAGGTTCAAAAGCATTCTTTTCAGACGTCGTTTACTCAAATGTTGAAGAACCTTCATGCAGTAAAGTTCAAAATTATGATAAAAAATGGGTTGAGAAAGGTAAAAGTTCAAAAATATCTATAAACGTTACTTACTCTAATTTTGAAGGTGAATTGGTACAAGAAGAACAAAGAGACACTTCAAATGAAAATAATCTCAAAGAATTGTCTGTACAAAAGAATTTTTTAAATATAATCAAGAGAAATCGTATGAAAAAAGCAATATTGAAACTGCAGAGCCTAGCACTAGCACGGTAGAAGAATCAACAAATTTTGACTCTTCTGATTCTTCTTTGAATAATGCACAGCAACTAAGCACAACAAACAATGCTGATGATGATGACGACGATTTCTATCAAGATAAGCGACCCACAATTGGTTGTCGTTGTTCTAAATGTTTGGAGTGGAATATAAAAAACCCTACCGAAAAAGTCGACCAACAACAGGACTTTGTTACTAAAACCACTTTGAATATAGATCTAGAAAAACCAGCGCTACTTTTTAAAACCGCGAATGACCTTGTAGAGGGCGAACCAGTACAAATAATGAGTCAAACTTCCGCCAGATTTATCAAGTTACAACAAAAAACCAAGCTTGAGAGTTTTGCTTCCCCAAAAATCCTCATTCATGGGTAACTGTTGTTTAAATATTGGGTGATATATTACAGCAGCTATATGTTTCATATTTTTTGTAATGTGTTTAGTAACATGATATTGACAGACTAAGACTTTTGTTATATTTAGGTCTTCAATTCCTGCACCTGTAGAAAAGGTTCTTTCAGTCCCGTTTGATCCAGAAATCCACAAATCTCTTGATCGATTGGGTTTCAAAGAAGTCAGACAGGTTCAGATGTTCACTTGGCCTGCTCTAAGACGTCGCGCGCACGTGTTCATGGTAAGCGGTCCCAAGTCGGGTAAATCGATGGCAATTATTCCTGCTGTTGCCTCATATTTGCAAGAAAGAATAGAAAGATACATAAATTTGCCTGATAACGAGGTTGGACCGATTGCGGTGGTACTATGCAAAGGTTGCGAATCAGCTGAACATATATTCGATTTATACAAAAAATTGTTTGAGTGTATCAAGGGTAAACCCTCGATGTATATGGCTATTCCGCCAATGGACAAAACGAGACTGGTAAGAGGATGTACAATAGCAATTATATATATCTCCTTTTCTATTTTCAAAATCTCATTACCTACTACTTACCTATCTGAAATTTTCTAAATTCTAGTATTTTGATAGTGCTTATTTATTCTAAAAATCAAAGGGAAATATCGTGCAGAAAGCAATTTACTTTAGTCTTGTTTTGACAAACTATGAAATTTATTGATTTTTAGTTTTAATTTTATTTTACAAATCAATCTACATACCTTTATAACTATCACATAAATATCATCAACAAGATCAGTTTGGCGATACAAACAAGATTTTACAATTAGCATCCAAAATTAATTTTGCTCGTAATATATTTTCAATTCACCCTAATTTTAGCCAGTCAATTACTTTAAAGTCCAATTGCTTTTTTAGATACACATATCTAAAACTTTTAGGACATTTGGTAACGCATTAATGATTTGAAATGCTTCTAATTTGTGATGTTTTTGATCAACAGTTAAATTTATTTTGGTAATTTCAAAGTTTTGTTTCTAATTTTGCTAGTTGAGGTGATACATTCAGCTTTCAAGTCTTTATGTACATATATAGTAAAGATTCATGCTAATAGAAGCTCAGGATTATTTGTTTATTTATTTATAATTATTTTGTAGAACCAATTTTATAAACAGTGTGATATCCTTGTGGCAACTCCCAAAACTCTTTTTTGGTTGCTTCATTCAAGAATAGTGAATTTGAAACGTTTGTGTCATTTTGTAATCGAAGATGGTGATGTTATTCTTCAGAAATTTTCAAAAGAGATGGAACTTATTTTTAGAAACGTGCAGAACATGTTGGAACATAGATTATGTAATTATTCCGTTCAAATGATAGTTGCTTCAGAAAAATGGAACGTACATTTAGAAAAACTTATCAAAAAGTTAAATTATATTCCTACCATTTGTATAAATAATTATTTGGAAGCAGCTCTGTATGGTAGGGTAAATTTTGAATTTGTGTTTGTGAAGGAACATCACAAAAAAATGCAAGTTGTGGGTAAGAAATTATTTAACGTAAAATATATGTATAATTTATATTTTTATTATAGATATTATTGAGTCGAAAATGCATCTACATAAAACTATTATTTTGTGTAATAGACAGTCAGAAGTAAAGGATGTTTTAGAATATTTACAGTTAAAAAGTATAAGTGCTGTGGAAATTAATTCGTCAAACAGTAAAGAAGAGATTTATGAATATGAAAAATCTTGGATGAATCCAAATGCACAAAATTTTGGTACTTATACTACAATAGTTTCAATCCTTATCTTCAAAAACTTTTTATTTTTCAGTTTTGTTATGCACTGACGAAGTATATCGCCACTTTTTGAACATAACTGACGCCACATTGTTAATACACTATTCATTACCTTCATCATGGACATATTTTTCTGATCGTTTTAAAGTAATGGTTGATAATATTTCTAGCCCCTTGTCATTCAAGCAGATGGTATATATTTCATTTTTATATATATTTGTTCTTTGAAACCCNTTCCTCCCTTGTGCTTCTCTCAAACGATGATGTGTTTGAAAATCAATTATTGTATTAAGTGATTTGTGGATTTCTTGAGCAGATGTTTCCAACTACAAATAAAATTAAACAATTTTTTTTAATATAATATATTGTTTTAAAGTAATACCTGTGTCATAACTGGACCTAAAATATTTGCATAATTAAAAAGAAAAAAAAATAATAAGTGAACTTTGACTGATTCTTTATATTTGTGATATTTAATTAGTTATTCTGTTTATAAAAGGATGAAAATCTTTACTGCAAAACATACATCTTTATGGACCAAAGTTGTGAAATGCAGTTTCCGCGACTAGTACAGCTGTTGCAAAGATTGGACAAGACGCTACCTTCCAAATATATGAATTATTACTATGTAGCTATCTTATTTCTTATATTAAATACTTATTTTTAGTGCTGTAATTGATTAAATTTTACAGTTCAAAAAAAGAAAAGAAGAAGCCAAAAGAATCGAAGATAAAATTGAACTATGTAAAAACATAAAGATATTTGGGTTCTGTGAAAAAGTGAAATGCCCGAAGAGGCACGTTTTATCAAAACAATTAGACTTGAATGGTTTCCTTCCAGAAAGGGGCACCATCAATTTTACTTTATTACGTGTTGAAGAAGTTAACATGTTCTATGTAAAACTTTTACAATTTACAGACACAAAAGGACAGTTAATAAAAAAATATTCGGAAGATTATGAAGAAATGGAAGAAAAATTGAATAAGAGTATTAATTTAGAACAGGATTATGCTGACGATTTAGTTGTTGGAAATTATTATGCTGTCTTCAGAGATGAAAAATTAAAAAGGTGTCAACTTCTAAGAATAGTAGACGACGCTACCAACAGTATTAAAAAAACTAAAGTTATAGTTAAACTACTAGATTACGGTCCTCAGATAAGGGTGAGCTCTCCTCTTTACAATCTCCCCAAAGAGTTTCTGTCAATTACTCCCAGAGGTAATTTTGTACTGTTTGGTTTGTTTAAAAAAAAATAGTTTAATTTATTTTCACAGCTTTTACGTTGTACTTTGGAAATTTGGTTCCACCTGATGGTGACGAGAAATGGAGTACAGATTGCAAATCAAAATTAAAAAACGCATTATTAACAGTTGAATACAATAATGAAAGGTCTTACTTTTCAAGTGAAGTCCTGCTACTCCTGGGTCACGATTTATGGGTAAAAAATGTCTATCTGTACGAAAATATCGACACGCTGAGGACTACAACTACAAAAATGAACGTGAAAAAAGTGTTAAAAGATTTAAAACTTGTCGTAGAAATCGAACAACCGATGGACAATCTATATAAAATGTGTAAAGAGGCTGATATTGCATTACCCGAGTTCATGGTGGCAGAGGAAAGCAGTTCGAAATTTTTTGAACAAGTAAAACCCAACTGGGCTTTCTTAGAAGGAAGTTTGAACTATACTGAAGTATTTTTATGTTCAGTGATATCTCCTGACCGTTTTTTTGTACGTCTAAAGAAATTTGATGATTTGTAAGTATATTACGTTTTTTTGTTGATAAATCTCGTTAATTTAATACATACATAAAACTTATATATTATTTTTATCATATATGTTATCAGCAGGAATTTTGTTAGTGTTTCACGACCTTTTAAAGATTACAGTTGTTAGAAAAGGAAATAAATGCTGCTATTCAGAAGCCCTTTTATCCCGACAACTTTGTTGTTACGAAAGGCTGTTCATATTTAGCTAAAGACAAAAAGACCGAAGAATATCGACGTGCTTTTGTTTGTGAAATCGAGAATAAAGTTGCAAAAGTTTTTTTAGTTGATTATGGTATTACAGCAATCGTGCCTATTGAAACGTTAAAGTTTTTGGACGAAAGTTTTATTATAAAATTGCCTTACCAGGTAGGATATTACATTTGTACCCCATTTTTTGTATATTTATTTGAGAGTCGGAAAAGTTTCCTTGGTATATATTGCGTGTAATGCATCGTAATGTACCATATTCTATGAAAACGATATAAAAAACGTTTAATTTTAATTGTGCATTCCTATTTATTGTTTTAGCATGACACTTATTTTGTAAATTACTCCACTCATTGTAATATATTATTACTTTTTTCTTGGTTTAATGGCTTGAAACCAAATAAACAAATAAATATAAAAATGATGAGTGAATATTTAAAATATTTTTAGGCGATTGAGTGTCATTTGTATGGAGTTGATCCATTTGGTTGTTCATGGCAAAATAATGCAAGTAAAATATTATGTGATTATGGTTTCGATGAAGCCTCAAAGAGGACATTGTACACATATGTATATGATAACACCAAAACTGGGCACTTAACATTTAATTTAAATTATGGTGTACTTCTACTCTGCTACAATGACAAAAGTAAACCAATTTTTATTAACCAGCTTCTTGTTGATTGTGGTGAAGCTGTTAGTTCAGATGATAAAAGTTTAGATTTAAATGTTACTCTACCACAAAGTGTTAATGAAAATGAAGAAGAATTAGAAGAAGGTATTGATATATATTTACCTATTCATAATTTATATATTAATTTTTGAAGTGTATTTTTATTTATAGAACCCATTGAAGAAGTCAAGAATTGTGATAACTCATCTTTGTACGACGATTCGTGTTCGTTTTGTTCAAGTGATATTGTTGTTTTTGACCAAGACTTCTTTTTGGAACAGTTTGGAGTAAGTTATTATAGTATGATTAATAAATGAATATAAATAAGAACATAGGCATTCACTGATTCTTAGGACTAATGACCTTATGATGATGATGAGGCATTCACTGTTGCAATCCACATACTTATACAGGGTGTCTCACGGTGACCACCCATTAGAATATTTCAGAAACTACTTCGATTTAAATTTTGAAAATTTATACAATAGCGTTATTGGGTATGCTCTCAATTAAAATAACGGCATCTACGCAGCTCTTCTGGTTATACCGGCATCAACTTCTTTATTTTAAATGGAACACCCTGTATAATATGACGGTTTTGAATTCTATTTATGATTCTAATTTGACCTTCACATAGCTTTAATCCTAAAATTTATTGTTTTTGAGATATCAATTTTTTTTTAAAAAAGTAGCACAGAGTAGTAGGTAGCGAAAAAGCATGCTTATTTTACAATAAGAAAACTGGAGCAACAATATTCTGAGGAGAAGTAACTGTACCCTTAAGCTTCCTTTCTGTACTTTCGAAATAGGTTTATTACATACAGGGTGTTAGAAATTTAATGACGAATTTGGTCAACTACAAACAATCGTAAGTCCATGTCTTCAAATGGAATACCCTGTATGTATTTTCATAGTCATATGCAAAATTTTATTTACCTTTCGAATGGTACTGTGCTTCTTTATAATTATCTCCTCTATTTTTTTTATTATTCCCTGTTCTTTGTGAAAGCAACAAAAATCGTTAAATTTTTTACGAAGATTAGCTTTCTGATGTATACTCAAAATAAACAACTAAACCTTTAATGCAGAAATGAGCGTCAATGTTTGATTATGAAGTGTAAATATAGTTGCTATAATTGGTTTTTCTTTTAATTTACAGATTAAAATTAATAGCGCAACAAAGGAAGAAACGAAACCAGCCATTTGTGATAATCCAGACAAGTATTTACCAGTCATAAAGGCTCTACCACCTGCAGAATATTTAACCCCTGCAGTCAATTGGTACCAGACTAAGGAACGTATTTACTTGACAATTTTATTACCATCAGTTGATCAATTTGAAATGAAATTGGTTAGAGAGAAATTTCTACATTTTTGGTGAGCAATAATTTTTTTCTTTTAGGCTAGGCATAGTTCACGTAACGCTTTCAGGGGGTGGTGTATTCTCTAATGTTATGAAACGTTAGGGAGGGATAGGCACATTTCAGTATTACATAATATAATGTTGTTAACTTAAAAGTAAAGCTTTTTGAACATCAAAAATCAGCTGAAAATAATTTACATCTTAGGGGAAATTTTTGTTTAAATTAGTTCTTTAAAAGTAGTTCTATATACATCAGATAGGTTAGTGCAAAAGGCACAGAATTGTAGCATTGGACGGAGTAGAAGTGAGATTGGATTAAAGTAGGAGGTTTGGAGTGCAATCAAGGTATTGCAAAATGGCATTAGGGGCGGCGAAAAACACTCAAAAATTTATCTGGGGAAATGAAGGAGGTAGAACTAGTATAGAATACACAGTTAGAAAAAGAGCGTGTGAATACTTTAGAGATGTTATAAGTATGGAAAAATATGTCTATTGGAAGAAATGGGAGCAATTTTAACCAATAAAGCGTCAAAATAGGAGTAAAAGGTGTGGGAAGCACAATCACACCGGAATTAAATGGGGCAGAATAGTAGTAGCATTAGTAAAAATATAGACTACAAGGAGATGTAGGCCAGAATAAGGTGTAGCAATATAGAAAGAACTAAAAAAAGGATTTAATGAGTGGGGAAGGGATGAAGCTGCAGTTTACTTGGTGTTACATGAGGGGAAAAAAGGGAATTAGAATAGCGTTGCATGATTTACGACCTTTTCAGTTTTATTGAAAATGAATACGAATAAAAAATTATGCATTTTTTGTTTCGTTTTAAAGGACAATCCACAATGGAAGGGAATATCGCCTAGACCTAATTTTTTATTCGAAACTAAAGAGCAATTTCAAATTTTCATCTGGATTAAATGTAAAGGCAACTTTTGTAAAGCAGGAACCTGCAGAATGGCCGCGTCTCGAATGCACTCCAAGTCATAAGAAAATTAAGTACGACTTAACAAAAATAGATTTCCCAGAAGAGATGGAGAAAAAACTCTTTTTGGATCTAAATATAAATGACGACGTAGAGTGTGATATGAACGAAATTATCATTGGCTCAGATGAGGATTACAGTGAATCTGATTTAGAAGAATCTACATCGGATTAGAAGAAATATAAAGTATAAGTTTTTTATCACGGTATTTCAGTTTTTTATACGCATGTAACGTTATTTTTTATAAGCAAAGTTTTAGATTCTATATTTTATACATAATTTAGTTAATACAAGAAGTAATAATCAATTAATTAATGATTCTTTATGAATTTTTCCAACGACTGACGAACACCTGTTACACAGTTCGTATTCTTTGTCTGCACTGAACCTTCTACACCTATCACAAACGAATAAGGAACTTTTTTCAAATTTGAAGATGTAGTTTTTACCAGAAAGGTTTTCAACATCAACTTCTATGTCGGAAATTTGAAAGAAATCGCAAAGTTCACTTTTCATTTTATGAGCGTCTGGTTGCATGTTCTAAAACGAAATAAAAAATAAACAAATCCTTTATGAAATAAGTAACTTACCGAAATTATTTTATAAAAGTCTTCAGTTAGAGTAAGCCATATTTTATAAGGTGCAACATTTGCCCCGACAGATTTGTGAAGATCTTTTTTAACACTCAAAAGTACTTTTTCAACAAAATCGTTTAAGGTGTCATTATTCCAGTTGTTGTTTATAGTATGGCACGTTTTGAAAATGGAATCTTCTTTTTTAACTGACAAGGAATCATACAGTTCTTCAGCTAGATGAGGCACCATTGGGGCAACATTACGCGTTACCACATTAAAAATTTCCAAGAGGACAAATTGTGCTGCTCTGCGACTAGGGTTATTTTCAAACTCACAATATAAACGGTCTTTAATTGCAGGATAATACAACGAAGACACTGAATTAGTTAAGAAATTTACTGTATCAATACCAATCTTCGAAAAGTGATAATTTTCATACATTTGTTGAGTCTAAAAATCATTTAAATTGTTAATTTCTAGAATAGAGGGTATCGTGTTCAAAAAAAAAAAAAATATTTAAAAAACTTGTACTTACTGAAATTCCGTATTTCCAGAGCAAATGTAACAAATATTTATCAATAATTTGCAAAGAGTTTTTCTCAATTTTTTCGTTTTCAGAAAAATCATTTAAGATTGACACTGCATAACGTAAGACACTCCTGATCTTCTGTACTTCATCTGTACAAGCCTGAAGAGTACTGTCACTAACTTCAACAACATTCTCCCTACTTGCGTGACATACAACCCACCACCTGCAGAAACAAATGAAATACTAAAGACGTCCTTATTTCACTAGCATTTCTTTTCCTCCAAATATTAATGTTTGAAGTTGTACTTCTTTTTGGGTATTGAAAGTAACATTTAGCATGCGACAGAAGTTGAGGCTAACGAAAATTCGACGTTATGAAGTTAAGAGCGCGAATTTGCCCTTGTGTTCTGGTTTCAGTGGTCAGTATTGCACGGTGATTTTTAAATACGTAACCGAAAATACTGTTTAAATAAATAGATGATTATTGCTTTGCATTCCAATTAAATATGTGAATAGAAGTATAACTTCTAACGCGTCTACATAAGTACACACACCATCCTTTTTCATATACCTTAGGACATCAATTCCATAGGCTTTCCTCTTTTTCGAGCCCTTAACAATATCATCTGGATAAATAACGTTTCCTAAAGATTTCGACATTTTCTGCTTATTCTCATCAACAGCAAAACCGTGAACGTACAGAGATTTATAGGGAGATCGATTTCTTAAAGCAACTGACGTGATTAGTGATGACTGAAACCAACCTGTAAACTGATCAACTCCTTCCAAATATAAATCTGCAATTTTGTCATCCAACACTGTCGACCACGAAATTCCGCTATCGAACCAAATATCTAAAATATCCTAAAAAATCGGTTGTCTGTAAAGTCGGTTTACTGACGATAGTTGAACGAGACAACGTCATAAGAAAATACTGATGGAATGGTTTCATTTTTCAAAAGAAAATTTTAATTTTATTTGTTTGATAAATATTTTGTATGGATATAGAGAAAGAGGTAAATGAAAATGTATTATTGTATAGCAGCTGTCCACGCGGAAGCTTCGCTCACTCAAGTAGGAGAGAGACAGATGTCGAACGCGGAGGCCGATTGTGCCTCTTTGTCGCTCGTTCCGCGCTCTCGCTTGCACTTCAAGCCTTAAATGGAACGCCTCAGAGCGAGGTAACGCCGCATGAGTCATGCTTTTTCGTGCGTCTATCGAATTATAAGACGTTGTCACGTCAAAAATTACTAAATTATTCCCGTCTTCTTTTATTTTTTATTTCAAAAGTGGTTTTTCATATTATAGTTTATTTAAGTTACACGTATGTTTAACAGATTAATAATTTCAAAATAATTGCTAGAATTTTTACATATTTTTGATTACTAAATTACGTATAGGTACAGTTTTACATGCTTTTTATATTTTTGTGTTTCAGAAGAATTGTTAAACAGTAAGAAAATTTGTGAGCGCTTAAAAGGAAGTTTAAAACACTTACTTGACCTTTGGAAATGTTTTCTTCCATAATACCCAATTTTTCAATAATTGAAGATGGTATTAGGTCTTTTACTGGTAATTGCCACCAAAAATCAAATCCTTTATTTTTATCAATTAAATCACATAAATGGTTTATTATGGACCTAAAATATTTGCATAATTAAAAAGAAAAAAAAATAATAAGTGAACTTTGATTGATTGATACCAAATACTTTTTTTAATATAACATCTTTAATCCATTGCATTACGAAAGATTTAGTTAATGCGTATTACTATGTTGAATTTCAAGTTTTTACATCATGTGGTTTGTGAAGAATGTTATCTTCTAAGAGGTTCCGCTCTCCTTTTGAGGTACAGAACCCCATTAATAAAAATAACAAGCTTTAATATAATAAATTTTACAGAAAACATACTCATCAACAAGGGCTTTCTCAGTGCTTTTTTCATAAAAGACGGGTATGGGAACTCCCCAAACCCTTTGTCTTGAAATGCACCAATATGGCCTCTTTTTTAACTGACTTATTAAAGTTTTTTTATGGGTTTCATTGTTACTTTTAGGATATATTTTAACGTCTTCTAGCAATTCCTAATGAAACAGAATCAATAAAATAAAGTTGTACCTATATCATACACAAAAATAAAAATACTCACTATTGCTTTGTCCTTAATTTTATCAGTATTAATAAACCACTGATGACTAGCTCTTAAAATAACAGGTTTTTTTGTTCTCCAGTCATAAGGATAACTGTGAATATACTCTTCACAATGTAAAATTTTATTTTCCAACTTCTTCAGTACAATCTCCTGTCCTGTTCCTAAGACAAAGTGTCCATTCAAATCAGAACCCACGTTTTCAGTGTAACATCCAAGTTTATTGACAAAACTTTTCTAAAAAAGAAATTATAAATAATTCTTTTACAAAGATAAAAAAATTAAGTAAAAGAAAGGAAATGTACCACAGGTAGTTTGTATTTAAGAGCAACAACAAAGTCTTCGGGGCCATGAGCTGGTGCAATGTGTACTAAACCTGTCCCTTTGTCATCACTAACATAATCTGATAATACAATAGGCAGCAAGTAATCTTCGAACAGCGGGTGATAATACTTTGAACCAATTAATTCATGTCCTAGGAAATTTCTTATGACTTCTAATGTTATATTCAATTTTTGGGAGATGTCCTCCAGTAATTTAGAGGCAATAACGTACAGTTCATTATTTGAAGAGCTTCTTACAAGACTATATGAAATATTTGCCTTACAGGAAATGGCTTGGTTACAAGGTAAAGTCCAAGGCGTTGTAGTCCATATTAAGGCATATATTCTACAAAAGGGAAAACCACAGTTAGTAAACAAAATGGGAAATCTGTCAATATATACTTTTCTTTATTGAAGTTGCCTGTAATTGTAAAGTACTTTATTTCCATTTTCGTAATTATTGCTATACTCTTATGATTTTTATTATATTCCAACTCAGCTTCTGCCAAAGCTGTTCTAAAACGAAAATGATATAATTATGTATATATATAGTAAGTCCCTAATACCTAGAAGACGGTGACCAATAAACAGGTTTCAGATCTCTAAAAATAAGACCCTCTTTGTAAAGACAATAAAAATCTGTTAACTGTTTCTTCATGTAGGACGCATCATTAGTGGTATAATTATTATCCCAGTCTCCTATTATTCCCCATGAACGGAATACTTGTTTTTGTTTGACAATAGTTTTTTCAGCAAATTGTTTTGCTATTAATCATATTAATTAATTCCAACAGTTATAAAATAGAATAGAAATTACCCTTTTGTCTTACTTCCATAGGTTCAACATTAGTGCTTAAATTACATTTTGATACTTTCAACTCAATTGGTAAACCATGACAATCCCAACCAGGAATAAAGTGAACTTTTTGCCTTTTTAAGATCCTATATCTTAATACTGCATCTTTTAATATCTAAAAGAAGGAAATAATTGACAATTAAGTAACTATTAATGATCAAAAAGAAATAACTATTACTTTATTTATAGCATGTCCCATGTGCAAGTCACCATTTGCATAAGGGGGCCCATCGTGTAAAACGAAGGTTGAACCTTCTAAGTTCTCTTGTTGCCATTTAAACAAGTCCTTTGATTCTAAAACCTGCTGAACTATTTATCTGCTTTATGGGCATTGGAAATAACTTACTGTTTTGAGCCTATTATCTCGTTCTAAAAGAGCAGCTTTCTCTAGTCGAAGGGGTAGTTTGGTTTTCGGTAAAATTAGCGTATTGGAATATTTAGTGCCTTTTTTACCTTTTGAACTTGAATAGTACCTATATACGAAACCAACACACTTTCCTTTCACTAAATTTGACCTTAAAAACATGATTTTAAGCTAGAGCAAATTAATTTTTGCAAATAAATGAGTTTCCTACATTTTTTATTGAATCATATTATTTATTGGTTGGTTTTATGGGAATGCAATTCTAAAATTAAAAAACATAACCCTAAAAACGTAAAATTAAATATTAATATTCTTACTATCTATGATTCTTACTAATAATAAATAATGAGCTATTTCAACCTATTCTCTTATCTGTCTTATAGGCTAGTTCGTTCATATCATAGACAAAGAAAATCTGAAAAGACAAATAATAGATACATAACATACCATTGAGCAGAATGAACATTGCGTTTGTTCAAAAATTAAAAATTTATTAAAATTACTATTTTCTTTTCCTTAATCTCGCTAATCTTATGGTTTTCATACTTAAAATATACACACAGTTCTTACTATGATTTATACGTCTTCATGTTGAAAATGGAAGAAAAGACTAAAGAAGTTGTGATTTCAGCATACTTGTAAATATTTCAAATATTCTACTCAAATACTCTCAGGGTAATTGTAATTGTATTTGAAATACTTTTCAATGAGAATATTTATTATTCGCATGTATTTTTTAAAATTATTTAATTAATAGATAAATTATTATCCACATAAATATACAATTGTTAACAATTTGGTAATTATTGTTGATGCAATTTTATTATTTGTTGATAATTGGTTATTAATATTTAAATATTGAATGGTTGGTGAATAAGTTTTATTTTACCTTTTTTTTTTAATTTAATAACATCCAATCAGTAGGAAATCGATTTTTGAACCATCTTTCATTAATAAAACTTTTGTTTGTTGATACAGGTAAAATAACAATCGATGTATGTCGTAATACATATAATGTTTCGCAAGTTGGTCGTTAGAATGGCGGGATAAATTGAATAATTCTATTATATTTCAAACGAGTTTTTTTCAATACGATTAGGTAAAAGAAATATTAAGTTCTTCCATTTTTTAACTTATTGTTAATTTAATTTCTTAA